AGTGGAAAGAGGACTGTAGAAATAGTTTACATTGAGTCGAGTGTGAGAATAAGGAAAAAGCACCGCAGCCACACCAAGTCGAAGATAACTCACTCTTTTCAAAAACCACTAATTTTGCAGATTATTTTATGCTTCGTAAGAGTAATCTCATGGGTTGATTGTAAAATTTTGTGACACGTCTATGTTAGTTTTCTAGCATGTATTGTTGTGAATTTTTTAATACTACGATTGCTTTGTGAAAGGTAAATTACATGATATATGACATATGAGTGATATTAAAGCCTCAAATATTAACGAATTTTGTTGGACAGTTGCTTCTCTGAAATCACATGGAATTAGAATTCTATGATTCAACGTTTGAAATAAAATATATGTAATTTTAAAATGTTTTTTTATATTATTCACAGTTGGAGAAGAAGGTCGACAATATTATGAAACTTGTCAAACTGCTGCTCCAACTACGTGTAATGTAAAAGCACAATTGGTTTCCAACACTAGTGTCATATAAAAGCATTCAATGAGCAATCCATGTAATCTTATGAACCTAAATCAAGAATATCAAAATGCGTCTTTAAATCATGCAAACAAAAAAATTCATATGAACTAAATGAATTATATATAACCCCCGTTTGGTAGTCATTTTTCACCTCAAAAAATCATTTTTTGACCGTTATTTCACTGTTCCAGCCATCATTTTTGAATTCTTCACTCACATATGGAATCCATTTTTCTCTCTAACGATCAAGCAATCAATTCTTATAGTCACTACCGAACAGACTCATAGTGTTTCAATCATTGATCCCTAACACAAAAGCATAAAGAGAATTTCAAAAGCAGAATGCCAATAGTCCATTTTCCAATAATGATGCAGAAGGTTTTGAAGTCAAATCTGATTTCTCTCCTATTTTCACAATCGATTCAACACCAATGGTTGCTTGCACGTTTTCCTACCTGAACGTAACCTCGACATCTTCACATCTAGTTACTTAGTTGCTCCAGCACATCTTATCTGTTGGAATAATAACTAGTTGCAATAATATTCAGAACAATAAAATGCAGAAATATATAAGACTTATCGTCCGATTGAGTCTTGTGACAGCACGATGTCCTAAAGTGAAATTGCCCGTCGATAATTGCTGCGACCTCCGTGGACAGTCACTCTCAGGATACAACGATCGTAAACCACTTGTGCAGCAATCACGAATGGTTTTTCCAGAACTCTCAATTGTACTTCAAAATATATGTAAAAACCCGAGTATAAGAAAATCAGAATATGAAAATGAAGGATTGATACAAGAGGAGGCGACGGAAACTAATGTCATCCCCAATACCAGTAAATTCTATCCTTTTAATTGACAATTTTCATGTAAAACAAAGTAAAACGAACATCAAAAAACACTTTTATTTCAACATTTTTCACATGAAAAATTATATCAATCAAACACAATAATTTACAATTTCCAGAAAAACAATTCTAGGCAATTCAATTCCCTGGAATTCGTTTTCCACCCAATTCAATTTCATCTTTACAATCAAACAGACCCTAAGTGCAATAGATTTGTCACCTGAAATGTTATTCAAAGTCCAAATGAATTTGAATGTAGAGTTTCATCGAGAGAATGGGAGTAATAATTAATGAATTGATTTAATTGTCAATGGCTGAAGTTTTGCTTCTGTTACAAAAAGGCGAGGACTTATGGTAACTCAGTAAATTTGGTTTATTGTCTCATATCAAATGACAGTAATTCTTGAATGTAAAATATTAATTAGTAAAACATGAACTGTTTTAATCTAATGGATCATATCTAAAATTTTGTAGAAATTACACCCACACGTGTTTTTTAACTTCTCAATTCAAAAATAAGATGTCAAAGTTTTTTATTCAAAATTCAGATGATAATTCATTTTTCAAAATATTAATAATAATATTGTAAATTAAATTAATTCACCCCACTCCCCAACTCAATTTCAGCCCAAACCCTAAACATCACTTCCCACTCTCTTCTCTACCTCTCGCTATTTCTCTTTTCTCACTCTCCTTTCCTCACGGTCACTATTTGGCGTTGCACCCACCCCTCATGTGACTCCAAACACCCTTATTCAACGGTTGCAAGCGACAGCAGCCGCAGCGTTGCTCAATGCTCAAAGTGGCGTAGCAGTAGCGTCGCCTCGAAAACTTGACTGTGCGTAGCTAGGGACAACACCATTGTGCACAGTAAGGTGCGCTGTTGCAACCGAAATTGGTAGCCATTGCCTTGATGCTTTTTTTTATTCGATCCACCGTGGGAGGTTTTTTAGTTGGTGATTTTCTAATTAGATTTACTGTGGTGGCTTGTTGGTTGCTGTGGGGGTAGTGGTGGTGGTACGCGGGTGACGATGGTGGTAGTGTTCAATTGTTCATTTTTTGTGACTATAACTGGCAGTGGAGCGATAGTCGAAGGTGGTGCTGTGATGGTTTGTTGGACGGCGTGGGGGTGGGAATGATATTTTGTGGATAATAAATAGAGTAATGTTATTCGTAGTCGCTCACTGCAGCAGTCGCCTTACGTGGCATACACATAGCAGGTGGTTATTTGATGATGTGTATACCACGTAGGACAACTGCTGTAGTGACCAGTGAGCGACTACAAATAGTATTATTCTAATAAATAATATGTCACTTAAATTTTGCGACTCATAAATAAATGAAAAAAAATTGCAGTTAAAATACCAAACATTTCATTTAATATCAGATTTGACTCAAACCTTTTATTTGTGTCACCCCAAGTGCCGAACCTTTAAAATCACAACCAAAGTCCAAAATAACGATTTCCATCAGTTTAACCCCAGAAACTGTAACACATTTTCCTATTAAACTAAAAAATCAAAACCATAACCACTCACACCTATTTGTTTCTTCCCCAACCCTTTACCCCAAAACCAAAACCACCCCCACCTAGCTTTTGGCGACTACTGCTAATGCACATTTGGCGCCACTTTCTCAATGATTCTGACATCCCAAATAGCCAGATCCAACAGAAAAAAAGATTATTCTCGCTCCCTAGTCCCACTCCCGTCTAAAGCCAAATCTAGATTCAGAAAGCAACAACAAGGTATTACAATGGGGTTCTTGACTCCCAACTCAGTATACACTCTTGTGCTGCAAGAATGGATACCAGACTCTAAGAAGATAAAATATTTGATAAATTCGAGAATCGTCATATTTTTTCTATTTTACTACCTTGTTGTTGCTCCAAGAAAGCAAGCAAACATTTAACAAATGGCTTCTATATTTAAAATTTTGAACTGAAGGTATAATCATCAAGAGTTAGAGAAAATGTTTGAAACAAATCAATAGAGAAGTATACACTCTTGTGCTGCAAGAATGGATACCAGACTCTAAGAAGATAAAATATTTGATAAATTCGAGAATCGTCATATTTTTTCTATTTTACTACCTTGTTGTTGCTCCAAGAAAGCAAGCAAACATTTAACAAATGGCTTCTATATTTAAAATTTTGAACTGAAGGTATAATCATCAAGAGTTAGAGAAAATGTTTGAAACAAATCAATAGAGAAACAAAAATAAGTGAAGCTTATACGAAGTTGATATCAGTGAAGTGTTTGTTTTGAAATTTGGCATCATTCCTACTAGCTAAACAAGAAGCTCAAATGCCCACTCCTCCAAACTACCAAAATAATTGGCAATTTAAAATTTTTCAAAAATACGAAAATCATAATCGACTTCTAATAGTCTTTCATAATCTCGACTAGAAGGTGGATTCAAACTATCAGTGGCTGTAAGAAACTCCAAACACTTGAATACGATTGATGCATAAAGACACTATGAAAATCGAGATAAACCTTCTGTATGTTGATTTTGTGGGTAAAATTGAAATGGGTCTCTCTGAATACAAGGAAAAAAAACAGGTGGACTTTGAAGGAGTTGGTAAAATTTGGCGATGGCAATGGCTATCTAGATCTAGATTTGGTTTTGGGTTATACTTGATATACATCAAGTGTACATCAAGGTGTCTATTCGGAGTGGAGCCCCCTCAATATGAGGGAATGGACACCTTGATGTACAAGTAGAATAACCCTTTAATTTTAAGAGTTGAGACAGTGGCAACCAGTGGTGGGAATGATTTTGGTTTTGGGGTAAGAGGATTGAGGAAGAAGGAGATGAGCGTGGGAGGGTGTGGTTTCTTTACCCCCCTTTTTTTTTTTTATTTATAATGTAATGGGAGAAATGTATTTTGACGAGGTAGTCATTGTCTTATTTGGCTAAAGCTATGATTTTTTATTTATTTATGTGGTCAACTGACAATTTTTACGGTCAAACAAATGGAAAATCGTTATTTTGGACTTGAATTGCGAATTTTTTAAAAATTTGGTACTTGGTATGGATGATGAAAGGTTTGGATCAAATCTACCACTAAATGAAATGTTTGGTATCTTAGCTGCAATTCTCTTTAAATAAATTGTGACCCATAAATTTTTTTATTTATGACCGATGAATGAATTGTGACTTATAAAATTTTTGATTTGTAATTGCAAAATAATTTGTGGCTATTAATTCGATTATTTATGACCAAATAGTATAGAATTATGATTTTAATATATTTAATTAATAAAATATATATTTAATTAATTATTTCATAAATAAAATCTAATCAAAATATGATATTTGAAGTTTAAAACCTTGTTTCTTAGTTTTGAATGAATCATACTTATACACTGTTTGATTAGGATTTAAATTAAATTTTTAGTGGATTTTGATAAAAGTCGATAAAATGTATGATTGAAATCCATGAAATATATGATTAAAATTGATTGTTGACTTTAACTTATATTAAAATTTAAATTTTAATATGTACCAAACAAGGACTTAATCTCTTATTTTTCCTTAAAATTTTCCGCTATAATTTTGAGGCCCATAATTTCTGCCGTAGCCCAATGGGCCTGTATTTGGACCCAACAAATCATTTCTCCGTCAAATAACCGCCGATAAACCTCAGCCCAGTACGGTTCCCTCTGCAACAAGTTAAAGGACATACAGGCAGCAAAAAGAGAAGAGAACGAAAGTCTAAAGCGAAAAAGCAAAGAGCGAAATTTGACAATGGCCGCTTCCGCAATGGTACTGGATCCGAAACCCGTATCCTCTTCTGACCCGCCGCCGGCATTACCCGCTGTTGCCGCCTCTAAATACACCGAATCCTCCGATGACGACGATTTTTACGGCCGGCTCAAATCCCTCCAGCGGCAATTGGAGTTCATCGACATTCAAGAGGAATACGTGAAGGATGAATTGAAAAACCTGAAGCGAGAGTTTCTTCGGGCTCAGGAGGAGGTCAAAAGGATCCAGTCGGTGCCGCTGGTCATTGGCCAGTTCATGGAAATGGTTGACCAGAACAACGGCATCGTTGGGTCCACTACCGGGTCGAATTATTATGTCCGCATTCTAAGTACTATTAATCGCGAGCTCCTCAAGCCCGCCGCCTCCGTGGCTCTCCACCGCCACTCTAATGCCCTCGTCGATGTCTTGCCCCCTGAAGCTGACTCCAGTATTTCGCTTCTCAGCCAATCCGAGAAACCTGATGTTACCTACAATGTGAGTTAGTTCACTTTTATATATACAGTTTTTGCTATAGATTTTTAGTGGATGTATGCCATTATTATTTATTAGTTTGTTGGATGATTTTATCTTATAATTGAATTGGAATTAAAGACTTAATAGGAAATATGCCCTAGATTGAGCTGATTAATTGCTTGATGGCTTATTCTTACCAGATTGAATAGGGCCTGTTTGGATTTGAGTATAAAGAAGTGAAATTTACTATCTTGTGCTTAAAGTAGGTTATAAAGAGTTGTGTGATAAATTTTAATATATTTACAACTTATAGGATGCATTTTGTAGGAGTCTTTATATTTTATTTGCATTTAACAATCATATGTGTCAAGAGCCCTTATGGTGATTTGGGAATGTGGACTTGATTATATCTATATGATTGAAATTTTTGATATGGGAGTTTAACTTTACTCTTTACATTTGCATGGTATTCTCTTTTTGAAGGTGGTCCTTTTCATTTAAGACCTGTGTTCACTGATCGTGTTAGAATTTTGTTGAGCAGAAAAACTGTACTAGTGGCATGCAAGAATAAATTGCTCAGTGACTTTCTTCCATCCAAGACTGGTAGAAGTTGGAAATGGATTTGGGTTCAAAACATTAACACGAATAAAGAATATTCTTCATCCTCCAAATCTGGTTTTTCCAACCTTCAAGATATTTTTCAATTTTTTGGCATCGAAATTACCCTAATTTATCAGTTAGCGTTTTTATTGCTATAGGTGGGCCCTCAACTTCTGGCACATCTTTATCAACAGTTAAAGTGTCCTTTCTGGCTGCTGCAAGAACCAGAAAAGCCATCTTTTGTGGTTTTACTTAACCAAACTAACATTAAAGGGAAGAAAACAAAGGTGTTATCATATGATAGATTTTTCTTTGACCGGAAAAGCCATCTTTTGTGGTTTTACTTAACCAAACTAACATTAAAGGGAAGAAAACAAAGGTGTTATCAGATGATAGATTTTTCTTTGACCTGACTTTTGCATACCCTCTTTCCACCCATCCTGTTAAACTGCAACTTTGGAAGGTTTAAAAGCAAATGTTGAACAATTATACAGTTTTGGATAGCCCTCCAATCATGGATATTCTTTGCCAGATCCATATTTCATCAAACTTTCTCCAAAACGGAGGCACACTTGTGGGGATTCTATATTAAAAACAAAAAAGAAATTTGGTTGCAAATCATCATGATCACCACACAGATCAAGCATGAAAGCTCAAAACATTGTAATATTTCCTTTTTCTATATTAAAACTGAAACTTCGATATTTTCTTCCAAACATTCCAGATGCCAATCTCTTAAGATCCAATGCAAAAGAACTTTATAGGGAATTCTGATTTTGGATGCATACAGATTTGAAATATCAAATAGGCTAAGAATAAACAATTTTGGGAATGCTCTTGGGTTCTGTGACCTGGACCCCACATGATCATAAGAAAAACTCAAAATTCTGATTTATATATAAATAATAAATACTCTGATGTGGACGCAGGGGATATGACTTATGTCCAAAGAAACTTTTGTGGACCTGAATAATGCTACTTTGTATTTACCTATTCTAGTAGATTCATACCTTTTATTGCTTGCATCATTCCCTCTTGGCTGGAGAAAACTTGCCTTCAATTTTTTAGGGCATTGAAATTGCAGCCAATGCTTGGAATGTAGGAATTGAAAGTTTTCCTTCTTCATTATTTGCATCAATGATATTCTTCTCCTTGATAATATTCTGAGATTACAAATCAACAATTCACGTAGGTCAAATTATTGATTGCTTCATCCCGTAATCATGTGCTTGAACAAATTCTTCATTTATAAAAACTGTAGATGTGATATAATTCTATTGCACTTTCGAATAGTGGACACTATTAGTTATTATTCCATGCCCATTCGTTATGGTTAACCAAGCTGCTTTGTCGACCTTCTGATATCACCCTATCTCTTCATTATCTCAGGATATTGGCGGATGTGATATTCAGAAGCAGGAAATTCGTGAAGCTGTTGAATTACCACTTACGCACAATGAACTGTACAAGCAGATTGGTATTGACCCTCCCCGTGGAGTGTTGCTTTATGGTCCACCTGGTACAGGTAAAACCATGCTTGCCAAGGCTGTGGCAAACCACACAACTGCAGCTTTCATTAGGGTGGTGGGTTCAGAATTTGTGCAGAAATATCTGGGTGAGGTATGCTTCAGAAACTCTCCTCTTTGCTTGTGATGTGTGCTGATTCATTGTTAGATAACATTTGGAATATCTTTTGTGTACCATGCCAAGGAAGTTGTGAATATCCAATTGACTAAATATTGTTGCTGGTGGGTATGTACAGGGTCCTAGAATGGTCCGTGATGTCTTTCGTCTGGCCAAAGAAAACGCTCCTGCAATTATCTTTATTGATGAAGTAGATGCCATTGCAACTGCTCGATTTGATGCCCAAACTGGAGCTGATAGAGAGGTTCAAAGAATACTCATGGAACTTTTGAATCAGGTATATCTGTACGATTAGGAATTTAGGGGTGCAATCAGACTGCAGATGCATACTTTTATGCTTATGACAAATAATCTGCAAGTACAGTCAAAGGCTGTAGATATAGGAAACTCGAACCCATTTTATGAGCTTTCTCTATGCATGTGTTGTTGCCATAATGCTACTAATTATTTGAATGGTACGACAGATGGATGGATTTGATCAAACTGTAAATGTGAAGGTCATCATGGCCACTAACCGCGCGGACACGTTAGACCCTGCACTTCTACGCCCTGGTAGACTTGATCGTAAAATTGAGTTCCCTTTGCCTGATAGACGGCAGAAGAGGCTGGTTTTTCAGGTAATTGTCTAGTGAATATACCTGAAGCGTCTTATTTCTCATCTTTCCATTTGCGTTAATTGATAGAAATTTGTCCGTCTCCTATGAATTGAATGGCAATCTTTCTCCTCAAATGTATAGTTTGTGTCAAAGAGTTTTAGAGTGTTCTATCTCTTTGGATACACATACATCTGAAGGATTCTTCATGATTGTGTGGATTCATGATTGTTGCTTGTCCTTGAGCAGGTATGCACGGCTAAGATGAACTTGGGCGATGAAGTTGATTTAGAGGACTATGTTTCTCGACCTGATAAAATAAGTGCTGCCGAGGTTTGTTTTCTTAACCACGTCTTTTATAGGAGATTGAAATTTGAGTATTTCAAATTTATACACACATGCATATGTAGAGTATAGACAAATACTTCAACAGTATTACTTACCATTGCTCTGAGTTTCACTTTGTTGAGTCTTACAATAAACCCTTGACCTCCTATTATGAAGCACTGTTCTTGAATATCGAAGCCTAGAACTGAATTCCGAGCAGAAACAGCTGAAATTTCTTTGGTAACTCGATTGAGATGAAATTGGAAGTGTAGATGGACTATATTTTAATAGCTGAAGAGTAGCCATTGAATAATCTAAATTTCGAAATTAAACAGTAATCAACAGTTGGATTGAGATTGAAATTTCGTTAAGGAAGCTAGTGGAATTTCTAAGAGAGAGAATGTGAGGCGAAGAAGGAGAAGAAGTTAATTGAATTGTTGTCACACCCGTAGCGTATTTTAAAACTAAAACGGTTTTAGTTTACTATCTTGAGCGAGAGATTTTGTCTTTGAACCTGTGGCTTTTGTGGCTGGAGAGCTCAGTCGAACTTGGAAGTTTAGGGTTCACATTCTTATTTTACAATAGTTTGCGTCTCTATATAATATTCCAAAAATAAATATTCATTTGTTAAGAAGAATGACATAATAAATCAGGGATTGACGTCAACGAAATCAAGGAATTGGAAAATTCTTTAGTGAAAATTCTTGCAATTTGTTTTGATTAGAATTTTATCAGAAGATCGAATGTAGAGAGACATCTATACATACTATTGAAATGTATGTAGAGAAAGAGACATCTTAAGCAAATTTTACCGTTATAATGTCCCTTCTTTTCATTCTTCTTCCTTTCTTTCTGTTTCGATTAGAATCTTATCAAAAGATCTTCATAGAGAGACATCTATATGTACGATTGAAATGTGTGTAGAGAAAGAGGCAACTTAAGCAAATTTAACTATGAGGAAATTATCAAAATAGTCAACTCTTGACTTTGTAATTACAAAATCCCCTTTTTTTTTTTTTTTTTTACATTGCAAGAATGTCAATTTTAGACAATTTTAGACATGTTTGCCCTTAAAGCTAATTTTAAATATCCTACATGTCCTAATTAAATGAGATTTGACCAATTAAAAAAATTGTACAAAATTTGTCAGACGAAAATTGAATCCTTCTTTAAAAAAAAGCAGAGCATAAACCAAATCCCTAATGTCGTGAATGTGAAAGGAAAGCAAGAGAAAATCAAATCCCTAAAACCCACTCTTCTCTGTAGCAAAATCAACCACCGAAATCGCAAAATGCCGGCGAACTTGTCTCCCTCACCTAAAATGGAATCCCTAAAACTCTAAAACATGCTCCGACCACCGAAATCGCATAATGTCGTCTTCATCATGTCTTCTTGTTTTCCCCAAAACCATGGGACTTGCTTCATCTTGTCTTCTTGTTCCAATATAGTTTTTTCTGTTAGAATTTTTAGGGTATCCTTCTTGTTGTCGGTTCTAGGATTGAACTAAAAATATAAGTTGTCGAATCTGGAATTTGTGTTGCATTAACCATGTTGGTGGTTTTCTGCAAATTGCCGCTATATGTTAGGAGGCAAGTATGCACGCTGTTCACAAAAATCGATATGTTATACTTCCAAAGGACTTTGAGAAGGGATACCGAAGCAATGTCAAGAAACCCGACACTGATTTGGAATTTTACAAGTAATCTCAGTTTTCGTATTTGGGAAATTGTATGTTAATGCTTCCATGTTCTCATGGATTTATTATAATATCTTGTCATTTGATGTTGACTTATTAAGTAGAATTTTTTTCCAACCTCGACGATACTCTGCTCTTGTTTATTCCTAATTGATTTGTCTTTGCAATCAACAAGTTACTGTTGTTCTTGAGGAGTAACAGTGATTTTTGCGAGGACCTATTATTTTCTCTCGGTAATTGTTTGAAATGAACATCTCTCTTTTCTTTTCTTTTTTCCCTTTTTTTCCTTGCATCATGTCGTATCTGTTGGAAATGGATTATGGACCCTTTAGCAGAGGATTTTGAAAGTCATAAGCTGCTTTTACGTTTAAAAATTACTTATAACTATTTGATTAATTTTGTGGATGTTTTTTATCTGGTTAGAAGAGCCTTTAAATAAAATTGGATTCATTTCTTCGGACAGAAGAAGACTATGTAAACACGTACTCGAATTCTTCTCCAAAAAGTACAAGCACAAGCCCTGAAATCTATGCAACTCTTATGAATCCTTTCACAATTTCACATATGGTAACTACAAGTTTGTCTCAAATTATCTCAACTGAAAAAAAAAACGAAGAAGCAATTTAGCACTTGTTTGATTTTCATTATTTTCGAACTTTTTTTTTTTACATACTTATTTTTACCTACACATTCACACAATAAAATATTCTACACATAAATTTATATATTTTTTCCCCTATTTTTCAATAACATATTCTAAATATTATTTAAAATTTGAGTTTTCGCAATTACGGGTTGTCAAAATAGGGACTTACCTTGGACCGCCCTAATGATTAATTGCTTGCAAAATGAATGGATTCCGAGATCCGTAACCAAAGATATGGACAACTTTTAATTAGTGTGGTCCATACCATTATTAATAACGTAATGTTGTCAGCTATCGTTCCCACCTTCCAAATCTCACTCACTGATGCACCAACTCTTCGAAGAATTCTACATTAGATCTAAGGATTCTTTGAATCGAGTCCAAATCACACAGGAAGGATTTACAAAATATAGAATTCCTGCTACGTGTCTTCAATCGAATAAAGCTATTTATATCATTGTTGTCGACAATTGTGATTGATGACATTCATGTTGTCAAAATTTTTGAAACATCGATTTAAAAAATAGTTTTTAAAATAAATGAATGTGATATTGTCAAGTGTGTTTGGATTGATCTTCAAGCCCAACTTTTGAAAGTCGTGCGGTTGGACGCTTTCTTTCCCTTCGTCTAGACCAGCTTCTGGAAGCATTAATTATTCTAATTATTTACTAGGTTCCCATTTAGGACTTGTGAAGTTTGACCGTTGACTATGGCTCCTCATGACTCATGTGCTCCCATAATTTTATTTTACCAGAAAATTATGAAAGTTATCCTATTCAATCTCAAATATATTGACAATTTCTTGCAAGCCTATATAAATTATTTTTCGAGCAAAATATAAAAAATTATGACATTGGAAAAAATTCCTTTTTATTTTGATCTATGGCATGGAAGCAATTCTATCTATTAAGCTTGACTTCTAGCCTTTAGAAAAAAATAATAATAATAAATAAATATAAATAAAAAAAGAGTAATCGATTCCAAATAAATTATGAATATCCTTTTATAAATATAAAAATAGAGGAAATTAAAAAAAAAAAAAAGTTCATTTTGACATAGTCATTTGTAAAAATGTTCCAAATTTTTCAATGTCCATTTTCACAATTATTTGGACGAGAATACTCCTAAGTAACTTCCATGAGAAGTTACATTAAAATGATATTCTCGACATTTCAAATGTCGTTATCAATATTTGAATTCGTTTATATTTTAAAAGTATACATGTCAAATCACAATATTAAATGTTCTTAATATTTCAAACGTTGTTCTCGATACAATGTCTCGAATGACATTTCATTCGAAATATAACATTTTCTACATTTTAAATGTTATTCTCGACATTTCTATGTCTAGCATTAATTGTGATTTGACATGTGTAATATGAAATTATTTGTTCTTTCATTAAGGAATAAATAGAGAATTTGATATCAAATTTGACCATTTTTGCAAAGATTATCAAAAGTGAACATTTTTAAATCAACATATGTAAAATTAGATATTTTTGTAAATGTCCCATATAAATATTAAAACTTGAGAACTAACCCATGTAGCGAATGCTTATGGATCCATGTTCTGATGATATGACGGCGTCAAAAAAAGTTGACGGAGAAAGGCTTCCGTGACTCTTCACATCTCCATTTTTCTTTCAGCTCACGCAGACGCAGTACGTGCTTCCGCTCATTATGATAAAAGCGTCTTTTATTTACAAAACTACCAGATGAATTTCAGTTCAATGATCGCCGGCGAGCGGAATATTCCGCTACACCAACGCCGGCGACTTAGCCTCGGTGGAGTCTCAAACTCCAAGGACTCTTCGGAAGACAACTTGGACCTCTTCTCCGATGAGTCTGATGGTGCGTAATTTATTTTTTTTTTGCTTTGACTTTATAATTCTAGCGGTCAGTGATAAATAACTGTAGCAGATGCGGCGACAAATGGTTTGTGGTGTGATTTAAAGACAAATCGGGTTTAAAACGACGGTTATTTTTGGAAATATCAGTCAGAAATAGTATGTTCATTGTATAAGATGACGTCGTGGTCCCGATTTGCGTTGCAGCTGTTTAAACTATCAATGCTATCTAGCTGTATTATCTATTTCTTTATTAGCAAATTTACCTCGGTTCTTCTTTTGGCATTAATTCTTCTTCCTTTTTTTTCACTGAATCTGATGATTCGCGAGTTTAGCATCGGAGAAATTGGGGAGTCTCTCAATTGAATCAGCAAAACAGAGTAGAAGTGGACTGGATGACCTATTGTCGTCAACTGATGCCGGAAAGCATGACTACGATTGGTAATTCCTGAAAATATTTTCCTACCAGAAAAAAATTGTTTTACATTAATTGGTTCAATAATCTTTTAGTTGGACAGAAAATGTATACAAGTTATATTTTTTTGGTTTCATTTATTACTTGATGAAATCTAGGTTTCCTTAGTTTTCAAAGAGAATCAGGGAACCTAAAAAGACAACTTTCGCATGAATTAATAATGTAGTTCCCCTCGGCATATTGTGAACCTGCACAAGGAGGTCTTGTATAAATTCTAAACATGGACTCGTGCTTAGTGGATGGTTGGGACAATTGCATCATATGAATATCAAATTGGTTTCTTTTGTGTTAATATGAGTATCTAACTTGGGATGTAGTTTTAGATTTTTTAGTGTTACTTTTTTGTGTTTGGAGATAATTGTATGCACCTTTGTTCTGCTCATTTAATGCATTCAGAATAAATTGTGGTGGTTCAAAAATAACCAATTCAAATAATCATAATCCAACAATATTTAGCTGCACCCAAAAAACCTATATTGAAATTGATTTACATGAAGCAATAATGGGACATGTTATTTGTCTCTGCCTATGCTTACAGCCCTTATATGTAACAGGCTTCTTACTCCTCCTGGAACTCCTCTTGTTCCTCCATTGGATATAAATGAATCCCGATCCGCTCTCGTGGCTCCAAGAGGCAGTCCATCAATCAGATCAACCTCTACAATCAAGGCCTCAAGAGTATGCTGAACCTGTTCCATATAGTAGATTATAACTTTATTCACAGAGGAATTACTTGTTGTTGCCTGTATTTAGCCCATATTTTAAAGCCAAATATTCAGCACAAATAATTAATCCATATGCTCATATCAGTTCTATTTCAAGTTATCTTGAAAAATCTAGACTGGTTTTTCCTTGTTCTTTGGTTTGCCTTTTCATTATTGAACAAGATTCATTATCAATCATAATCAATAAACATATAGTTGGACATTGCTATATTTAGGTTTCTGCTTTCATATGTTATGGTATATTTTTCTTATTTCAGCTTTCAGCTTCTCAATCGGAAAGCAGCCGTCCTGCAAGACCAACACGAAGCAGTTCGGCAACTCGCCCGTCTGTCTCTAGTTTCCAATATGGTATCAATTCGAATAAATCGAACCCTATCCATAACACGAGCTCTGCATCAGTGTCATCTTTTATTAGATCTTCCACTCCTACTAGTCGCTCTTCATCTGTTACAAGACCTTCAACCCCTTCTGCCCGTGCAAAGGTCTCAAGATCTTCAACTCCTTGTAAAGTCCATCCTGCACCCAACATACCTTCAACTGAGAAACCGAGACCATCCCAAAACTCAAGACCTTCTACTCCGATTTCCAGGCCACATGTCTCTGCCAACACGAACTCTATTGGTGTTCGGTCAACATCAAGGCCTTCAACACCTACTCGTCGAAACCCATCACCATCACATTCTATATTTCCTGCAACAGGACCTTCAGCATCAGGAGGACGGACTCTTTCAAGGCAGAATCTTTCTTCAGTTTCCCGCCCAAGCTCCCCTGGTCCACGAGTTCGGCCCCAACCAAAGCCTATTGTCCCCCCAGATTTTCCACTTGAAACACCCCCAAACCTGCGAACAACTTTACCAGACAGGCCCCCATCTGCCGGTAGGTCAAGACCTGGTGCGGCTATTACTTTGAAACGGAATACTGAGACAACAAGTTCTACCGCTTTTCCAAGGAGACAGTCATCACCCATGGTTGTCCGGGGAAGAATCACGGAACCCATTGGAAGGGGTCGGATGCATGCAAATGGGCCGCTCAGTGATCATACAATTGACACTCGCAGAGAGTTATCTGCACGAAAACCTGTGAAGATATCAACAGAAAGCACTGGATTTGGCCAGACTATTTCAAAAAAATCTCTAGATGTGGCTATCAGAAATATGGTAAATATACTCTCAACTTAGAGCCTGTTTGGGCCCATTTTTTCACCTAAAAAATTGATTTTTTGACTGTTATTTTACTATTTCAGTCGTCATATTTGACTTTTTCTCTCACGGGTGGACCCTATTTTTCTCCGCAGAGAGTTATCTGCACGAAAACCTGTGAAGATATCAACAGAAAGCACTGGATTTGGCCAGACTATTTCAAAAAAATCTCTAGATGTGGCTATCAGAAATATGGTAAATATACTCTCAACTTAGAGCCTGTTTGGGCCCGATTTTTGCACCTAAAAAATTGATTTTTTGACGGTTATTTTACTATTTCAGTCGTCATATTTGACTTCTTCTCTCACAGGTGGACCCTATTTTTCTCTTAACGATCAAAAAATCAATTCTCAAAATCACTCCCAAACAGGCTCTTAATTTTTCTCTGTTTCTTTGCTGCTTTTAGCAATGTCTGGTTTAAAAGTCGCATTAAAATTTAAAAGTATCTTCTTTGTCATTTTCTTAATAGCATATAAAACAAATATCCTAGACTATTCATTTAGCAGTTACCACATTTTGAGCCTCTTTAGTTTTGGAAAATGTATTATGGATTAGTAGATTGATGGAGAATGTGTAGTTAAAAAAGAAGAAAAAGTTTTTTGGTTTGTGTGTAACATTATTTTATGGAAGAATACGTGGTTGAAAATAAGTACTGTAAAAAAAAATAAAGAGGAATGAGAAATAATGGGTGCCAAACAAGGGGTTAATCTTTCCGGACTATGAGATGGTAACATGATGACATATTGAATAGCTTCAGGAATGCTAATTTCTGAAATTGGGAGTATGTTGTATCTAGTGGAGCCTATCTACATCCATTGATGTGATTGGACTTTCATGTCAATGAAGCTAAATCTATCATGCTTTAAGCTCACAAATTCCCCATTCTATGGCAGGATATAAAAAATGGTGCGAACGGTACTCGTCCCCTCACAGGCTCAAACCTTTACCCTCAAAGTATTCGATCTGCTAACCAGAAAAGCCAATCCAGTCACTCGACAAGTTCAGCAGCATCTGTCAATGGAACCCTGCCTTTCGGCAAGCATGACACTATTGCAGAAAACAGGAATACCATTAACAGGTTTTCTGAAAGTGGGAATGAAGATGACAAATCTTCAGCTAAACTATCGAATGTCGATATTTATGAAAGCTCCCGTTATGACATGATTCTCCGCAAAGAGGATTCGAAGAACACCAATTGGCTTCACAGTGTGGAAGACGAGTCTGACCAAGAACCAATTTTTGATAACGGACTAGAACCACCGCCTGAACCCTTTAGCCCTTTATAATCTATATGAAGTGCTCTCACTCTATTGTTATATTTCATTTCGCATAATTTTTATTTTTTAATGAAAAGAGGGAAATAAAGTTGTTACGTTAGAGTGTATGATAATATGTTGTGGGAAAGTCTCTCCACACAAAATGTGTGGACTAACTTTTCTGCCACAATTTTGAATGGTGTTGTAGTATGTAAGATTATAGGATTTAATAACGAGAGTGATCTCTGAACTTTAAGCGAAAATTTTTGTTGATCACTGTACTCCATTCGTTCCATATCACTCATTTAAATATGCTTTTCTTTTTCTTTTTTTTCTCTCCCCTTCAATTTTTTGTTTTTATTTGATTTTATTGTCTTCTCTCTTTTGCTTCTCTCTCATTTTCTCCATGAGTCCTCGACTGGGTGAAGTTGCAACAAGGAACCTGTGGCTTGATAGAATCCTTCGCGATGGAAATGCTCCATTTGCTAATATGGTGACCGATCATAGTTCAGTGGAGATTTTAAGTGGGTCTGATTCTCAAGGTTAGGAAGATATAAGAGGTTTTGCCCTCAATCAGCTTTTCAATTATAAAATTAAGTATTTACTTACTTATTTTAACCCTTAAAATAAGAGACGTGAGGTACACTTGCTATTTTAACCCTTAAATATGAATCCATTCCAGGCATTTTTGCTGTTTAGTCAAATATGTCAGTGGTATATCCTTATGATATTTTGAATTTATTTTCTACTGGAAATTATTAGCAGAACTTTAAAATGAAACAATATAGAAATGTACAAAAACGACATGACAACCACTAGAAGAAATAACTTCAGAAAATTACAAAAGTAATTGTAATTTTTTAGTCGATAGTCAACTAGAAATATTCTCAATTTAAGAATAACCGTCGTGTTCCCAAATTCAACTTGATTTAGGGTCCTCAACATATTTTTTGTATTTATAATAAAACACACTATAATCAATGAATTACTCAGGTAAATCACGGCAAAAAGAACTTCAAAGTACGGCTACAAAAAATGATACCAGCGGCCATGGACGAACAAGAGATGAATAGCTTCAAGAAAAATGCTTTTCCCAGACTCTGAGTGGCTTCTATCTGCTTGTTAAAAACAATGGCTTTATGTATCATCATATATGTGGTGTCAATATTATCTGTGTTTATAATACGATATGATAAACATTAAACTGCGAAGGTAGGATGTTAGAGGGCTGAGCTTCCGGACTTCTGATCGACTAAATCAGCACCACTTACATATCTAGCAACAAAGGATATTAAACGGAATGGTGCACCAATCAAAGGAGCTTCTGAAAGCGGGACGCCAATTTTCTTATCATTTTCTCCCGTCTCTAAATCAGAAGCATCCATAACTTCGCTCTCATCCAAAGGAATTTGCACAATTTCATCTGACTCCAAGTATGAAGAGTTCGCATGCGCATTACCATCTTTGGCATCAACGTGCGCCTCTTTGATGAGGACATCTTCAAAGGACTCTGTGCTCTCACGCGAAACAAATGTCATCTTAACAGCTTCAGACGTGGAATCAGTTGAATATGCAGTTCCAACCGTTGGATCCATCACAAGAGCTGAGGTATCGGCAACATTAGGTGATTGAGGAATCACATCCATTGGATCAGAGTCAACAAAGGATGAGAGTTCCATTTTTGCACCCCTTTCCTCAAGCTCAGAATATAACTCACTCACCTGAAACAATATAAAAATAACTGTAATTCTTGTGCAACTTGGTTCTAGTTAGTTGATTACCATTATTTTTGCAATAAGCACTACTGCGAGTTTTTTAATACGGATATGAATGTAACTCTTCCAAACTCAAGTCAAGCGAAGAGTAGTTAGAGGGGGGAGAACTACTAGAGAAAGGCCAAGTGACAAGTAGGTGAGAGTGAAAATATGAACACCAAATAAAACTAGTGCATCTGCTACCACAGCTTCTGCCTACTGTACCACATTATGATATGTTACCTTTTCTACAAGCTCTGCATTTTCTGTAATCAAATTCTCAATCAGTGGACGTGCAGCTTCTATCTGATAATCTGCGTCCCCATTTTCAGAGGTAAGCTACATCAAAAAGAAAAATTATCATTACAATGTTGACCATATGATAAGAGATATAAAATAAAATAATAGATTCAATCCCTTACTAAGCAAAAATTATTTCCTTTTTTGAAAATTAGAATCTCAAAAAAGCTGCAATTATGATAAGTTGGAAGATACGAGAAAACAAAAAACTAACCACATTTTTCTCCATAGAGAAATGAGAAAAAGCAGCACTGCTCTCAAGTTTGTTGATCTGTGACTGCAGACTAGATATGTTCTCTGACAAAAGATGATTTTCTTGTAAGAGGCTCCTCCTCCTTGACTCTTCCAACTTCATCATCTGCCAGGATCAGCTTATTATTTCCATTTTCCAAAGCAGAGAAATAGAGAAGCTTGTCTTAAATAGGGTCCTCTGAGAGGTATCATGTGTGCAATGCCATGGCATTCTTCTCATCTCTAGGAATTGCTAGGATGTGTCCGCCATGAGGCAAAGCTGAAGGACTAAACATTGGGGATGGGGGTCATGTCATGGGAACATATGGACGAATAACGAGGATCCAATAAATACCCAACCTTATTTAATATCTATCCAAAACCCTGAAGTACCTACTACAAGAGCCTTCTAAATCAGAAAGTATACAGGTGTTTCATAAGTATACGGGTGTTTCATAGTCCATTTAGCTTGAGATACTAAAAAAACAAGAAACTTAATGGGCCAAAATTGAAAATTTCACTAAGCATTTTCTGCCATCTGCCCTACAGGAAAACTAGAAAGTGTTTTATACACAAACTACCAAGATGTAAGAGCCTTATTAGCAAGTCATTTCTGACCACAAAGCAATACTACATCAAGGGCGTAAATTATTAGCCATCAAACTATATTGCAAGGCATCGTAACATGCAATGTGGTTTGTAATGTACAATTTCATTAGTAGGAGAAATAACCAATAAATCAATCCATACAAATTGTAAGATAAAGATATCCAGGTAGATAGTCAAACAAGTTCAACTATTAAATGATGATTGTTCAGGTAGCTGGACTCGATACCTCAGCTCGTAATTTTGTGTTATCATTTTCAAGGGTGGCAATTGCTTCCTCAGTTGAATTCTGTCACAGATGAAAACCAGATCAAAATTTTAGTGCCTTCATTATTAATCTCTATCCACAATTGAAGAAGACAAGTTTTGAGGTGAATTCAGACTTCTCTGTAGATAACGTGATGATCATGATCTAAAGAGGTGTATTTCTAGGTTTCAAACCTATATGCGGGGGAGAATAACTAAATTATATGTCTAGACATACTCTATTTTTTTTTCTCTGGTTCCTGAAGATAAAACTAAACTGATTCTAGAGACTACAACATTTAAAATTGGTAGCAAGCATACATGTTGAGACAGAAGGACCTTCTACCTGCTTTTGGACCCAAGTATCTCTTTCTTTTTCCATATGTTTTATCTTTTCATCCAAGCTTGCCTGTTCTTCAAGGTCTAAGTTAATATACAGAACCACTCAAATCTTCAGGAAATGACTGACAGAGTACAGATTTGGTCATGACGAATAAAGCTTCGGAAATTAAGCGATAACAAGGGGAAAATCAAATTATAACTATTAAATCAATTACCCCTCTTAAATTTAGAATGGCTACTTCATTCTCCAGTTTATTAGTTTTCTCCTCAAAACCAACCTGGAAGAGACGAGATATTAGACGACAAGCCAGGAAAAAGTTTTTAAAGAACTTCCACATGCCAGAATTCAATTATAGAAAATGCCTTTTTTTAAAAAAGTATACAGCTAATCAAAGCATACTGCAAACTAGAAATATCTCCAAGGAGGCTGGAAAAATAAATGGCTGTTAAAATATAGGTTTCTAAGATCCCAAATTTCAACAAAATGTAAATAATTCAATTAAGAGTGACCTCTTTCTTGAGCCACAAATCTTTCTCACTCTCCAGTTGTAGGATTTTTTTCTCAAGAGCAGCCTGAGAATTTGCATATCAATCATATATGAAGGCTGAAATTACAAGAAACACAAAAGGCGTAACAAGAGAGGATGCAAAGAAGTCCCTGAAAGGTGATTCTGTGAATAAATAGAACAATATGTCCACGGGATTGCAGCATCTGCATGGCCTTCTACTGTCAGAAATAGTGAAATTAAGGAATTACCTCTTTTTGCAAATAAGCATCCTTGCCCTTTAGCAATTGTTTAATTTTCTCTTCTAGACTATCCTGTACCAGATAAGTAATCATTAGATGGCTTCCACAAAAAAGAAATATATATGTATCTAGGAATAACATATAGAAGATTAATAGAAATGCGTATAAAGACAAATTTGGGCAATCAAAATTCTATACTCAAACTATATATAAACATCTATCATACTAAAAGTTTAAGATATCCAACCTTATGGATCTAGATAATAAAAGTCCTACTTAACCTAGGATTTTTACTTATTCCAATCTAATTACTTTTATTTATTACTAAACCCCCTAACTAAGCAACATCTAGACTTTAGTCTGGTTCTTTTTATTATTTGCACATAAATCATAAAAAGAACTAATTTACTAACGTTCGAGTCCAACTGGGGAAATTCTCGACTATAAAATGACTAGACATGGCAATTCAACAAAATGGCTAATTTAATGCCTACAAGCATGTTTAAAGTTCAGGAGTTTTTACAGAAGCACGTGCTTGTCTGTTACTTCTTCCATGGGATTAAGACGAACAAAGGAAGAGGAACTTTCAGATTTTCAGAAGTTCTTGAGAGATACCTTAAGAGGACTAACGTTTGCAGGGTTTTGTAAACAAAAGCAACTGCAACACAAGAAGTTCCGAGGTGACTTCCAAATTCTATCTAGTTTAATGATCATGAACAAAAAAATGTATATTAAAATTCTCTGTCTGCTGCATTTCCATGTCTCAAACTTTCTATATATGGGTGAGAATAAGTAAATTAAATTACACATACTTCCTTAATATTCTTTTCCTAAGGTCTTCCGATGATAAAACTAAAATTCTCGAGACTAAAACATTTAAAACTGAAAACAAAAGAAACTTGTTAAGACAGAAGCTTCTTTTACCTGCTTTTGGACCCGGGAATCTTTTTCTTTTTCCATGTGTTTTATCCTTTCATCTAAGCTCACCTGTGTTACGAGGTCTACATTAATATTCGGAACCAATCAAATCTTTAGGAGATGACTGAACAGAGTACTGATTTGATCATGAAGAAAGGTTTAGCGATTATAAGTGGAAAATCAAATGCTACTATTAAGACAATTACCCCTTTTAAATTTAGAATGGCCACTTCATTCTCCAGCTGATTAATTTTCTCCTCAAAACCAACCTGCAAGAGACGATATTAGACAAGAAGCTAGAAAATAGTTTTGGGAGAACTACAACATACCAGAGTTCAACTAGAGAAAATGTCATTTATTAAATGGTTATACAGCTAATCAAAGCATACTGCAAATTCAAATATCTCCAATGAGGCTGGAAACATAAATTGCGTTATACAGCTAATCAAAGCATACTGCAAATTCAAATATCTCCAATGAGGCTGGAAACATAAATTGCTGTTAGAAATATAGAGTTCTAAGATAAAAAAATTCCAAGAAAATTTTGATAATTCAATAAGAGTCACCTTTTTTTTGAGCCATAGATCTTTCTCACTCTCTAGTTGTAGAATTTTCCTCACTAGATCAGCCTGGAAATTTTGCATATCAATCATATCATGAAAACTGACTTTCTAAGAAACCCAAAAGCGTAAAAACATTATATGGAAAAAATTCCTGAAGTGTGAATAAATAGAACAACATGTCCAAAGGTACAGCAGCTGCATAACCTTCTACCATCAGAAATAGTGAAATTAAGTTGGAATTACCTCTTTTTGCATATATGCGTCCTTGTCCTTCAGCAATTGTTCAATTTCCTCTTCTAGACTATCCTGTAGCAGACAAGAAATAATTAGCTGGCTTCCAGGGGGAAAAAAAGGACTAACATATAGAAAGATTAACAGAATAGCATATGAAGACAAATTTCGGGCAATCAAAGATCTTATACTTAAACTCTTTCTAACATCTTGTACTAAATGTTTAAGACGCCAAAATTGCATATTATACTACGTTTCAAATTAAATATCTGGATCATTATCTCTCTTTTATTTCCTAAGCATAAAACTGTCAGAAATAGTGAAATTAAGGAATTACCTCTTTTTGCAAATAAGCATCCTTGCCCTTTAGCAATTGTTTAATTTTCTCTTCCAGACTATCCTGTACCAGATAAGTAATCATTAGATGGCTTCCACAAAAAAGAAATATATATGTATCTAGGAATAACATATAGAAGATTAATAGAAATGCGTATAAAGACAAATTTGGGCAATCAAAATTCTATACTCAAACTATATATAAACATCTATCATACTAAAAGTTTAAGATATCCAACCTTATGGATCTAGATAATAAAAGTCCTACTTAACCTAGGATTTTTACTTATTCCAATCTAATTACTTTTATTTATTACTAAACCCCCTAACTAAGCAACATCTAGACTTTAGTCTGGTTCTTTTTATTATTTGCACATAAATCATAAAAAGAACTAATTTACTAACGTTCGAGTCCAACTGGGGAAATTCTCGACTATAAAATGACTAGACATGGCAATTCAACAAAATGGCTAATTTAATGCCTACAAGCATGTTTAAAGTTCAGGAGTTTTTACAGAAGCACGTGCTTGTCTGTTACTTCTTCCATGGGATTAAGACGAACAAAGGAAAAGGAACTTTCAGATTTTCAGAAGTTCTTGAGAGATACCTTAAGAGGACTAACGTTTGCAGGGTTTTGTAAACAAAAGCAACTGCAAACAAGAAGTTCCGAGGTGACTTCCAAATTCTATCTAGTTTAATGATCATGAACAAAAAAATGTTTATTAAAATTCTCTGTCTGCTGCATTTCCATGTCTCAAACTTTCTATATATGGGTGAGAATAAGTAAATTAAATTACACATACTTCCTTAATATTCTTTTCCTAAGGTCTTCCGATGATAAAACTAAAATTCTCGAGACTAAAACATTTAAAACTGAAAACAAAAGAATCATGTTAAGACAGAAGCTTCTTTTACCTGCTTTTGGACCCGGGAATCTTTTTCTTTTTCCATGTGTTTTATCCTTTCATCTAAGCTCACCTGTGTTACGAGGTCTACATTAATATTCGGAACCAATCAAATCTTTAGGAGATGACTGAACAGAGTACTGATTTGATCATGAAGAAAGGTTTAGCGATTATAAGTGGAAAATCAAATGCTACTATTAAGACAATTACCCCTTTTAAATTTAGAATGGCCACTTCATTCTCCAGCTGATTAATTTTCTCCTCAAAACCAACCTGCAAGAGACGATATTAGACAAGAAGCTAGAAAATAGTTTTGGGAGAACTACAACATACCAGAGTTCAACTAGAGAAAATGTCATTTATTAAATGGTTATACAGCTAATCAAAGCATACTGCAAATTCAAATATCTCCAATGAGGCTGGAAACATAAATTGCTGTTAGAAATATAGAGTTCTAAGATAAAAAAATTCCAAGAAAATTTTGATAATTCAATAAGAGTCACCTTTTTTTTGAGCCATAGATCTTTCTCACTCTCTAGTTGTAGAATTTTCCTCACTAGATCAGCCTGGAAATTTTGCATATCAATCATATCATGAAAACTGACTTTATAAGAAACCCAAAAGCGTAAAAAGATCATATGGAAAAAATTCCCTGAAGTGTGAATAAATAGAACAACATGTCCAAAGGTACAGCAGCTGCATAACCTTCTACCATCAGAAATAGTGAAATTAAGTTGGAATTACCTCTTTTTGCATATATGCGTCCTTGTCCTTCAGCAATTGTTCAATTTCCTCTTCTAGACTATCCTGTAGCAGACAAGAAATAATTAGCTGGCTTCCAGGGGGAAAAAAAGGACTAACATATAGAAAGATTAACAGAATAGCATATGAAGACAAATTTCGGGCAATCAAAGATCTTATACTTAAACTCTTTCTAACATCTTGTACTAAATGTTTAAGACGCCAAAATTGCATATTATACTACGTTTCAAATTAAATATCTGGATCATTATCTCTCTTTTATTTCCTAAGCATAAACGTTTCTCTTCCGTGTATCAGCCATTATAGTAAAAAATTGCTACATAAATACAGAATTGCTTTTACAAGTATTGAGATAAGAAAAACACATTCAGAAATTAATCACATGTGCAAAATCATTCTACTGGTATATTTAGTGCCACTTTCTTTCAACAGTTAAAAGTGACATTACCTCTTTCTGCATGCATGCGTCCTTTTCATTTCGTAATTTTGTGATTTTATCTTCTTGGCTAGCCTGCAAAAATCAAAGTCTATCTGATATAGTAAAAGAACAAAATAAAGGTTAAACATAATGTGAAAAATAGAAAATACAGTGAAGAATAAATTATGCCAATTACAAGACTTATGATGCCATATTTGAAAGCTTATTAAATTAAGCTTCAGTTACCTCTTTTTGTAAATTTTCATCTCTTTCCTTCAGCAACTGTTCGATTTTCTCCTCGAGGATAGCCTTTAAGAATAAAACCAGGAATAAAGACAAATAAAGGATACACACAGGAGTGTAGAATATGTTTTGCGTTATATAATTAATATATTATGTACAAATATGACATATAAACTAATTACTAACAGCAAGAGAAAAGGCAAATAATGAAAAATAAAACAAAGGAGAGTAAATGTTTTACCAGACTACAAAACATAAGGCAAACCACGTTTCTGTTACCTCTTTATGTATGCTTGCATCTTTTTGAGTCTGCAATTGCTTAACTTTTTCTTGCAAGCTGGCCTATATAAACTATAAAGTCAGCGTGATTGCAAAACAAATGTTAAACCATGAATATCAGATCATAAAACGCTAGTTTACTGTATTAGGCGTATCAAGCAAGTAATGACTTTGTTATCACCTCTCTGTCAAGCCAATACTGTTCCTCAGCTTCAGCTAAAGTTGTCTGTAGACAACAATGTGAAAATATTGGAAAAAGTAGAAATCCAAAAGTTCAAGAAGAAAACAACAATAACTTGTAAAAAATCTGGAAGTGTAAATTCATCCAATGTGTTTTATATGTTAATCAAGATAGTTTGTTTTTCTACACATGGATTCCGTATGAGCCCAACCAAAATTAATAAGAAAAGAAAAAAAGGAAAAAACTTTACACTTCGAAATCAAAGGATACCATTGAGTTTGAATAGAACCATAAAACTAAACAGCTCGGGAGAAAATTTCTTTTTATACATAAATCAGCAATTTTAACAATAAGATACCTAGAAAATTTCAGGTGGTATTTACATCGATGAGACCTACTATACAAAACCATAGTCAATGCATTCAACTTCAAGGAAAACAAGATTTTGTTCCATGATACATGAAGCAATATTTAAATGCAGATTATATACTATTTACAATAAGAGCCACAACTTTTCATGGAACTCAGTCAAGACTGCTCATACATCATACTTCTGGAGTATATACGATGTAAGAAAGTCATTAATGTGAAAAGGCCACTCTGCACCTGGCTCAAGTTATGTGAACTTTTTGTCCATTGAACAGAAAGATAACCCCCGCACAAACATTGAAATGTGAGTCCGAACAATCCAATTTCAACCCAAACCACTCAAGAGTTTCACTACAAACAAACAGATTTATGAACTCAATAGTATCACAATTTTTGGTCCATGATTCCAGTAAATAACCATGAACAGAGGCAATAAGTCATTTTCATTCAACAAAAAGTCAACTTTACTTGCTATAGCGATACATGGAAAACCAAACAAACACAGACAAACTTACACCTTCGGCGCCATTAGCAAAACTTTTATCCATATCAACATCTATCTTCGGCCCAAGATCATTTTGTGACACTTGAATCTCCAGAATTTGACTGTTATTATCTGGGCCCATCTCCGAAACATAGCTCTGATCGTCAGAAATTGATTCCATGGCGTCAACTGTGGCACATTCTGTCTGCTTAGTAGCCTGCTTATTCTTCTTCTTGTTTTTCTTTTTCTTCTTATCTACCTCCATTTGTTGAGAAGTTCAAGTATGAAACCCAAGAAGCTTGCTTGAGCCAAACAGGAACTGTTGAATCATGAATGCACTAACAATTTCAAACCAAGTACTTTTTCCGTAGATAGATCCATTTTTTCTGTGTAGTTAACAGAATTTAGGCACTTTCTTCAATCAACTAAAGAGGCGAAAAAGAATTGATAGATAAGAGTTTGGAAGGTTAAATCAGGATATCTTGTTTGATTTATTGAAATGAAGAAATGAAAGGTGACTCCATCTTCCAGCTCTTACATTGAAATCAACATAAAAATACGCATCCACACAACTTAGGACTAACTCACTGCCGCTTTCAAAATCAGATCTTTCGTACTTGCATGTGACGAATTATTAATCATATTTATGCGCCTAAAGTCAAAATAATAATAATAATAAATCAGATCAAAACCAAGCTTATCATAACAAATCAAAATTGCCTAAACAAAATTAAAACCTGCGATTACGTGAATCTCAGAATTGAATATCGGAAATAAACATTCAAACTGATACATACAACCATACACGTATACTCGTACACATTGATAAGCAAATTCTTCAGAAGTAAAAACTGGATATATATATATATATATATCAGTGAAAATTTGCGTTAAGATAGAATTGAAATCGCAAGGGGCTGAAGCATTTACGTACACTGGGGTCCAAATGCGTTTGAAGAATGAAAAGATATGCGAGGCCTCAAGGAGTCGCTTGAAACTGAAGGTTCTCTGATTCGGACTAGAGGAAGGAAATTATAATAGGAAAGAAGAAGGATGCAACAGCATTTGTGCTGGGGCTTTTGGGGTGTGGAGTCTATGAATGCGTATTACCTGTTTGATGGATACATTTCAAATTAATTTAATTGTTGATTTTAATTTAAATTAAAATCTAAATTTTAATCAGAAATATTAGAGTTCGGCAATTCAAATATTAATGCTGCGTTTGAGAGCCATTGTTATGTACAATTACATTTTAGAAGAGGAACTTGATGGGAAATGTGTGGTTGAAAAATAAGAAAAAAATTATTTATGTATAATGTTATTTTAATAAAAAATGTGTGGTTGAAAAGAAGAAAGAGAAAAATGTATTTTTAAACAAATGGGTACCAAACGGGGGCTAAAGTAAATTTCTCAACGTTAAATACTTGTTACTTTTGATATAGTTCTATTTGATTTTACTATAATTTAAATAGTGAAATTTACAAAAATGTCAAAAAAAAAATAAAAATGAAAGTTCCGAAAAATTTGTCATTTCACTTATGTAAGCAAAAAAGTCACTTTTTGGTGGGGAGGGGGGTGTGAAAAGTCCAAATTAATCTTAATGACACATTTTTAATTGCATTTAATGTTTGATTTGATGGAAAAGCGTTGATTTAATGTGATGATTTAATTTCTATATACAAAACATGGATAAATGTGTATTTTATTGATTAATATGAATTTTTGTTAATAAAAATGGTAAAAGAAATTTAAAAATGAAACATAAACTACAAACCCTAACTTTTCTCCATTTTTTCATTTTCATTGATCAGTAAGACATTTCTATTACATTATTCATCCATTTTGAAAGGTTAACAATTACAGATTATTTATATTTTACTCTTATAGCTTTTGTTTTGTAAATGTTAAATACAACATGGACATATGTATTTGAAATTTTTGAAGCTATTATGCATTGATTTGTTTGGTTCTGGAGTCCTTCATATAATGTCATTATTACCATTAATGTTTTGAGTAATTTTTTCCATTCAAACCAAACACTGTTTTTATTAAATGTCTCTTTAATAACAAGGCTAATCTGAAGTTTTCATTTTGTCATTTGATAACTCAATAGTAATGACCACACTCAATGTGCTATGCTGAAGAAGCTTGAGTTTCACCCACCGTCGTCTGCTTCGACGATTTTGATGTTTGAAATGTCGAATCCGACATTTACAAACTGTCAGGATATACAATTTTACTGTTGACACTTCAAAATGATGGAAACCCTTAATTTGACATTTTGCTATTATACGAATTTATGTATTATGCGTGCCACTTTCACGCTATTAAATGCCAACATATTGATGCTGAATTCTTATTATTGCAATCCTAACATTTCAGGTATGAGTATCATTTGAGATTCATCGTGTCGCATGGCGAAAAGTTTGTTCATACGAATGACGAATGAGAGAAAGTTTGTGCCATTTATTGTACACTTACATTGCTATCGACATATTAAGCTTCTACCCCACGTTCTCCAACGGAATCTTCTAAACTTGTGACAATTATTTCTGGAGGTAGAAGGTGAGCCAGTCACTCATTTGAGTCGGACGGGGATTCGATCAGACTCCTGATCTCGATGACTTGATCAAGCACGTTGTTCGGTAACTTAGATTCTGCACTTGACATAGCTATTTATAATGAACTTGTTGGATGATGGTTAATTAAGGTCAATTAGTTCTCAACCATCAACTTATTTTCATCACATCTCAAATTTAATTTGATAGACAATTGGTGTGATGTCTTCAACCACAAAGTGTGCTTGTATTGGTCACACATTCACTATCATTTACTCATTGGCGTTTTCAAGGAGAAACTTATAAAATGCACTAATTTCCATTTTTCCGAAAGCGAGAAACTTAAAATCTCTATAATTTCCATTTATAAACTACGATCTGGATATTAGTCAAACTTATAATTTCCATTTTTCTGAAAGCGATAAACATCTAAAATGCACCAATTTCCTCATTTTTCGAAAGCGAAAAATTTATAAAATGCATCAATTTCCATTTTTCAATTGGATACCAGTTTTAATCTCTAGGTCTAAAGAGCTCAAAAGGCAAGAAACTTACAAAATGCGCCAAAAATAGTTTTCGTACTAAATCCACACAGCTTATTTGACAGTGAATGACACTTAAACATAAACAAAATTTTTCAAAAAATAAATATAAAATAATGTAAAACAAAATGTTCCTCACTGTATTCTCCACAGTCACCCGAAGTGAAACATTGTCAACATCGCTCTTTCTTTGACATGGACATCGACTGGTTCCACCTCTCATTACAACAATAACGTGTTGACCAACACTTTGATGCTTGTTCAAGTTATGGGTGCGAATCTGCACATAGAGGGAAGCAATTGGGTCCTGCTCAACATTTCTCGCATCAGCGTGGGGAACTTTCTCGTCGTCATCGTCCCCTGAACCAACACAAGCTTCCTCGTCAGCACCATCTCCGAAACAAGAGGCTTAAAATCCATGTTTGAAAAGACAAAACAAGAGATGAATGTGTTAAACCATAATATAATATTTCTAGCCGCATGTGGATAAAAAACCACAAGTATGCTGTGAAGTGTCTATCAATAATTTCACCCAAATACAACGAGTACCATCCACAACAAATGGATTGAAAGTGAAAGCAATGTTATGACACACATAATATAAACATTGAAATGAAAGATATGTCAATTGTCAATCAAGATTTCCACCAAATGCATATAACAAGTATCACCCATATTACTTCAAGTCACCGTTTACGAATTTACTTACATAAGATCGAAATTAATGCGAAACACATTGAGCTGAGGCAATGACTGAACTGTCATTCCCAACATTTTATCTATCGACAAGTTCATCTGTCGAGAATTACTAAGGCTAACTGTCGGGAACGATAGTTCAGCAACAACTTTCGACAGATGAACTGTCGAGAAATCTAGTTTTTTCCTTCCCACATAGGTATTATACAAAAGCTTTTCACTCCATATTCGAGCAGAACGAAACATTAAATCCACAAATATGCTTTTTACCCCGGTTGCAGGATCATATGCCCAGTATGCATGATCATATGCTTTTCACATTTTTAATAGTTATTTATTAAAATACTATGTATGGTGAAGAGACCTTTATTCTTACTCATAGATGATCTTCTACCATTAACTAACAGGAGCTTGACCATTGGTTGTTGATTAAGAAGTGCAAGAAGTCCATTTACATAACAACCATCTTATTGCACACCAAAATTTGTAAGTTCACAAGGATACTCGCTAGATTACATGATATCGGTTATAAGAAAGTAAAGATAAAAATTACAATGAACTTGCAACCAAACCAACATTTCTATCTTTCCACCATTAACATAAAAGATTCCATGAATCGAGATAATCTCTTTTCGAATCACAACATTTTTTTCCTTAAGGGAACACAAAGATATCCAAATCAAGTCAGAAAAAAGAAAAATGAAAATAAACATACCAAAAAGTAGGTGTTGATCATCAACAATTCTCCTAAGTTTAAGCAGATTCCTTATAATTTTAATAAAATGCACACAGGTTTAGGGCTTCAGCATGGCTGTCAGAGTAAACTGTATGAACTTTTTAGACCAACAAATCTGGACAAAAATGGATATTTTGACAGTCATCGACGACCTTGAGCGAGAGAGAATGAGAAAGGAAATTGGAGTCGTTAAGGTTTAAGACTTTAGTTGCTATGTGAATGAATATTTGTACCATTTTAGCCCCCGTTTGGCCCCCATTACGTGAAAAATTAATGGGTGGAATAGTATTTTTTTGAAAAATAAGTGGTTGAAAATGAAGGAAAAATTTTCGATTTACGTGTAATATTATTTTATGGAAGATTGTGTGGTTGAAAATAGGAGAGATAAAAATGAAATGTAATGTAATGTAAATTAATGGGGCTCAAACAAGTGCTTAGTTTTCATATTTGTCTTTTTTTCCTTGTAAAGAGTGAGATGAGAGCTTTTGATGCGATGCAAATTAACTTTTGTACTATTCTTTCATCTAGTCAAATCAATTTTAATTAAGGACATCCAAGATATTTTAATTTTTTTGAGGGGCCATAAAAGTCATAAGGTGATAATTTGGTCAAAACTATTAAAATGTGATATTTTTGTAAATGCAAATCCAAAAAATGACATCTAGTGTAATTTCCAGATTTTTATATATATGGTTAAAATTTATTACTCATAAATTAAATTCATGGAATATTAAGCCCATGACTAATATTTGGAAGTGGTGTTGGAGTGAGATGATGGTATGGTGGGAACTGGGAAAGGATATATACGGAGGAAGAAGGCAATTAGGCCCTCGTTGGTAACCATTATTTTCTCTTATTGTCAATTACACGTTATTCAATAAAATAATATTATACGCTGATGAAATTTTTTTCTTATTTTTTAATCACACATTCTCTATCAAATCACTATTCAAAATACATTTTTTGAAAAAAAATAAATAAATAAATAATGGCTCAAACGTGCTCTAAATCCATTTTTCTTTTTCTTTTCTTTTCATTTTTTGTTCCGTAAAGAACTTTTGATGCGGGCGTTTGAAGTGTTTATAATGTGCTAAGCCCTTGTTTGGTTCAAATTTTAATTCAAGTTAAAGTCAAATAATCAATATTAATCACATCTTTCACGAATCCCAAAATTTTTCAACAACACATTTCGAATGCTTCTATCAGAATCTTCAAATGTTTTTATTTTATTTTATCAAAATCTACTAAAAATCTAATTTAATCCTCACCGAACAACCTAATGCTAAAAATCCTTGATTCAGGATCCATCTTCAAAGGTTGGAACCCAGACACAATTTATCCTAAAATAAAATTAGGTAAAACTTCTAGTTAATTACTTGATTAGTCATTGAACTGTAAGGTTTTTTCAGGAGATTATTGAACTTCAAGAGTCTACTCGTTAATCATTAAACTTAGAAATATAATTCCTTCGATCACTGAAAATTTTGAAAGTTCCCCCGTGAGTCATTGAATTTTAAAAAAAGTATTCACATTCATCACTCTATGATTAATGTGGAAACTTTTGTAAAGGTTAGCGACTAAAGGAAAAACTTTTGGAGTTCATTGATCCCCTGAAAACTTTACGCAAATTTCAATGACCAATTAAGTAATTGATCAATCTTTATTTTTCTTTTCATTTTTTGGTTTTTTGTGCTCCTAACCATAATTTTATTCTCACCGGTATCTCCAGACTTAGAAAAAGAATAGTCTTTTATCTCCGAAATAATGGACAAGGTTATCTACTGAGAGAGATAAAAAAGGCAATAAAGGATAGTTCTATGGGCTACTTCAGCTTCGATCGTCTTTTCAGTAAGACACACATGAATAAAAACAAAAATCTATTAAACACTTAGTTGAAGATGTGTATGAATTTCAAAGTTGAATGTTATAAAGTAATCAATGTTGAAGGGGTTCTCTTTTAAAATGGTTGACTATAGAGACAACTGTTTCCTCTTTGATCTTAGAGAGACTAGCAGACAACTTCGTTGGTTATTCTTAGGATAAAAGACTACTGTTTTTCTAAGTTTACCAATGTTAGAGAGAGAATTTGTGGGGGGTAGAAATACAGAAAAATGTAAAAAGAAAGAGAAAGACTAAAAAAAATAAAAGATTAATAATTGTCTTGTTGGTCGTTCGACTTTGCATAAAGATTTTGAGAGTCGCTAAACTTCAAATGTTTTCCGTTAATTATTAAACTTTACAAATATAATCACATCCATAATTGAGAACTTAAAAAATTTCCTTGTTAGTCAATGAACTTTACAAAATGTAGCATCCATTGCTCGGTGATTAATGTGAGAACTTTTATAAAGTTCAACGATCCTTGAAAATCACTCGCAAAGTTCAGTGACCAACCAAGTAATTATCCAGTAAAACTTCACTTAGGTGATAGCGAAACGCGCTCTTCAATTTCCCCGAAAGAAATGCGCTCCCTCTGTCTTTCCTTTCTTCCTCCCCCCTTCATTAATTTTCAGTGAATCAGAATCCCCTTTCCAGTACAAACATGGCCTAATTGGACTTGAGGAAGAAAGATAATAATTTCATTTCATATGTTTATTCTTGAAATTAGATTTTTTTTTTTTGGCACTGTGTAGCTGTGTATGTATTGATCACATAAACTACATTATATAAATTCTCGAGATCCCCATAAGTCGGTATTCCGTTCAATTCCTCATAATTGGAGCCTTGATCCGCATCCGCATCTTGCAACTGAGAAGATCTTTAAAGTGAGACCTCAATTTAACAGGTCAAGGATTCGTTATTTCATTCCTTATCTTAATTTGTTACTGCCTGTGAAGAAAATCACAACTTTTTTGATTTGTTAGTTAACTGCCCTCGAATTATGTAATAGAATCATATGTTCTAAATAATTGAATTTTAAAAGAGATTTAACTTTTAAAGCATGAAATTTGAACTTATTTTCCCACAAAACATGTGCCACCCGAGGCAAACTTCGTGATTTCACGTTTCCGAATCTCGCATATCAAGAGGATTATAAAATGTTGATCGTACCAGATGGTAAATTTGGTTGAATGAATCTGTTATTTTCCATTCTTGTTTACAGATCCCACGGGTGGTATAGTTTCACTGTACATCAGGATATTTTGTTGAACTTGTTAATTGAGAGGTTTCTAAGCAAGAATGGGACTTTGTTTAGCCAAGGTATGTTTATGTGCTGATGTTGTAGAATTTTTTAAGCACATTTTATAGTAATTGCTTCCATCTATTGTTGTGGTTTCTTTCTCATCTCGACTCATCTCATTTATTAGTTGAATGTCTGTATGTAATTTTAAAGAATGGATTAACGTTTACAGTAGGAGTGGATTGTTCAATGCACAGAGTTTACTGCCAGTTTTGAAGGAAATGGGTATGTGGCTTGGGTGTTGGGTCTCTAGTTCTAGTGGTGCAATAACAAGTGGTGAATGAATTATGCATTCCCAAAATTGCCTGCATATGGTTATTTACTTTGAGAAATATTGATTTCTTGTGGTAAAAAGTGATAAAGATGGAGTGGCGAAATTAGTTGCCTAATAAATTTGAAGACTGATTTTTAGTTTACTTGTCTTAACTGGGTTTGTAAGTTTCCTCAAAAATTGCTTCCATCTACTGATATCGTTTCTTTCTCCTCTCGAGTAATCTGATTTATTAGTTGAATGTCTGTATGTAACTGTAACGAATGGATTAAGCTTCACAATAGGGTTGGATTGTGCAATGCAGAGAGTGAGAATCATTATGTGTTTACTGTAAGTTTTGAAGGAAATTGGTATGTGGCTTGGGCTCTAGTTTCTAATGTTACAATAACAAGTGGTAAATGATTTATGCATTCCCAAAATTTGCCTGCATACGGTTATTCGCTTTGAGAAATATTGAATTCTTGAGGTAAAAAGTGAGAGACAAGTAGTGGCAAAATTGTTTCCCTAATAAATTTGAAGACTGATTTCTAGTTTACTTATGAGCTAAGTATTGACTACCTATTATCAGTCTCAAGCATTAATTGTAGCTTTTACTTTCTTTTATTTTTTATTTTTTTTATGCCAGTTCCTTATTTTCATATCTGTTTTCATTCTCGATTCTACGAGAATTTTCAGGACCTTTTACTTTTTTGCCTCATGTGGGAGTTATCATATCTGTTTGCAAAGAGCCTCTTTTAGGTCTGTATCCAATTTTGCTGCCATCATTAACAAAAAAAAATATAGGGCTTGATCTCGTGGAAGCATAATCAAAAAGCTCTTACATGCTCACCTCTTGCATCTCTCCTACATCTTTTAGCAGTTAAAGTTTGAAAGTACTAGCCCATTTTATGGTGCTCAAGTTGTTCCTTTTTTTTGTATCTGTTTGCAAAGGGCCTCTTTAGGTCTGTATCCAATTTTGCTGGCATCATTAACAAAAAAATGTATAGGGTTTGCTTTTGTGGAAGCATAATCAAAAAGCTCTTACATGCTCAACTTTTGCATCTCTACTTCATCTTTTAGCACTTAAAGTTAGAAAGTATTAGCTCATTTTGTGGTGCTCAAGGCATGTTTTGTATGTTTTCATATTTATGTTTATTCAAATTTAACAGTAGATACTTTATATTGAACCTTTTGCAGCATAAGAGAGATGGAGATGATTCCGATCATAACTTTGAATTTACGGGTGGAAATGTGCAGCTCATCACAACTGAGGAAAGTTGGGAACAAAAGATCTCAGAAGCAAAGAGAGATGGCAGGATTGTGAGCACTCGACACATTGTTATCTTTTTCATCAAGTTCTGTCTGGAGAAAACGTTGGATAGTTGTGCATTGTTCAATAAATTTTGAAGATGTCAACCATATTTCTGTGTTTTCTATGCTTGTTTCTATTGCCAACACTACTGCCAACCTCCCAACATAAAATCAAGTTATATCTACACAGGCCACACACTCTTCACATTCCCTATTTAGAAACAAGTTTATACAAGGATGTATATGCGCACGCTTACAGATGATGAACAGTTCTGACAAGGATCTTGACTTGTTGTCGATTACCAAAAATGATTGTTGAGGTTGAGCATTCCAACTTAAGGTGAAGTATCTAAATTTATTTTCAGGAGAAGTTCGTTCATATTTGTGTGGTATGTGCGTGCACACATAAGAAAAGGAAGAGAAACATAGAGTAAATGTCTTGTTTTATTTGCACTTATCATTTTATATGACTGTTGTAGTGAGAGTGTGTATAGAGGACCATTAAGCGGAGTCAAGCATGATTTAATGCTGGCGTTGGTTTGTAGAGGTGAGGTCTAGGCCTGGTGTGATAATGGAGAAGGTTTTTGTCCTTTTGGAAGGAGAAAGGAAAAGTGGGGAGAAGTAGTGGTGGGCAAGGGAGGAAGTGTTTAGGCTAGGGCAATTTTTGTGGTGGGTCTGAGGATTCTGGGGAAAAGGTTAAATAGTGGTTGGATTGGAAAGTGGGTAGGGCTATAAATAGCAACAAAGCAAGTAGGTGTGCAGGCTGAAGGAGGTTTTGGGAGTTTGGATAGTTGACATGTTGACGAAGAGATTATTTCATTTGCTTCATCTTCTTCTTGACTTGGTTAATAAAATTTATAGGGTTGGACAAAACTCTTGATCCGAATCGGATTGAACCGAATCGAGCGATTCTTCTTAAGTTAAATACCTGAACGGGTGTCAAAATCTAGAATCAACGGGTTCGGTTCGATTCTCGATTCTAGATTAAGAACCAAAGACTCTAATAAGGAGCGAATTTCCTTAATTTTTTTTATATTAAACAAGCCAAATTATTTTAATTTTTTCCTGTTTCATTTGCCAACCAATTAATTGAGCACAAATATCATTTTCTTATTTTCAGCCAAATTTAACTTTGTAATTCAAATTTCAAAGAATAAAACTTGAGTAGCTTAGGGTGTGCTCTCTTCGTATTTTAGTTTTATAGTTTTAAGTTTTGAATTCATTCTGAGTTTTGTGTTTTGAGTGTGTATTTTGAAATTGTTGAAAATATGTTCTGTTTGACATTTGAGAAACGTTTCTGAAAATAGAAAAATGGAAAACGTGTTTCACTATGAAATTTTTTGAAATTTTGGAAAATGTGTTTTCCACCACGTCCACCACCATCGACCACCGTCGGCAGAGACAACTACCACCACTGTCATCAACCAAAATCAACACCACTGCCACCACCAACCCTGAACCATTGCCACCACCCTGAACCACTCACCACTGCCAAAATCAACACTACCCACCACCACCATCAACCACTGCCACAAAAAACAGACCATTACAACCACTATCAACACCCATCGCCTTCCAAATCCAAAAAAAAAAAAAAAAAAAAAAAAAAACCCCAAAAGAGAGAGAAGGTAGATTTTGGACAGATTTGCAGTGTCGATCACCCATTGCGATGAACTGCAGCTTCTCTCTCTTCGACCGCCGGTAGAGACGGCCCTAAACCACAGCAGCATCGCCTCCCCTGGGTCGCGATGAATGGGTCGCGACGCTGCGTTCATAGCAGCATCGCGTCCCCACGCTGGTGCCGACACCAGCACATCTCATTCGTCGCCGCCTGAAGTGTGTGACCATCCATAGCTGGCATCAATCACCCACAGTCGGCGTCCAAGAGAGAGAGAAGGCAGAGAATGGATTTGAAGAAAGTAGATGAAGATTTGGTTTTGTGTTTCAAAAGGCGTTTCCCGTGTTTTGTAATTTTTTGGAGTCTTGTATAAAAAACAGCCAAAACGACATTTTGGTCGTTTCGTTTTCTTCACAACTTTTTTTTTTTGTGTTTTCGAAAACGGGTAAGAGAACAAGTTTTCACCATTTTGAAAAATCGAAAACAGAAAACGGGCCGAAAATGGGAAAGAGAACACACCCTTGAGTTTTCCTCAATCATTTTGCTGTTTCTCAAATAGCCAAAGTTGAGTGGCTATGCCTCTCTTCATCTTATCCTTTTTTTTGTACTCTCATTGAATTTTCTCCACTTTGATCAAGGAAAGTTGCATATATTGGTGAATGGATCTTATTAGAAAATCAGTTATTTGTATAATTTTATGTTAAACTATGTTATTTTATAAGTGTTAATGTAGTGTTATTGGAAAAGTTAAGGTTAAACATGTCATTAATTGGATTAATATAGTGTTATTGTAAATATTAAAAAATTTAATTATGGTACGAAACAGAACCTAACCGAACCAAATGAAATTGAATCGAACGGTTCCATAATTAAATTTAGACCCAGTGGTTTGACTTACTAAATACTTGAAAAATTTATGTGGTGACCAACACTGCATTGGGGTTTATTCGTCAAATGATATTTCAGGCTCTTTGTAAATGTGGCATTAATAGTTTCCAAAATTGGTAGTGGAGTGTGGATTGTATAGACCTCAATTGCCAGGGTGTAGTGTATCCTGTAAGGCTTATAATATTTGGCTAATCAGATTATAAATTTGACCTTGTGGTAAGAGTTGTCTTTACAGTTTGTCCTGCATCCTTGTGTCTACTTCATTATGCTTTTCCTAACACGTGTTAATTATTTGACAGGTGATTGCAAATTTTAGCGCTACATGGTGTGGTCCCTGTAGAATGATTGCACCCTTTTACAGCGAGCTGTCTGAGAAACATCCTTCACTAATGTTTCTAGTAATTGATGTTGACGAGCTAATTGTAAGTAGTGTGACTAATAAATAAGCTGAATTGATAAACTTTAGGTTATCTACATTTTAAGTTTCTTGTGATTGTTCAACCATCAACCCAATGGATAAGAAGTGGCGGGTAATTAGAATGCATTAAACGGGATTACCTTGTGTACTCTTTAAGTAATGCGTTTACGATGTTCCTCAAGTAAACAATATTCCGCGAGCCAGATTTATATATGTTGTTATTTGCTTCAGGATTTCAGTACAACATGGGACATCAAAGCAACTCCAACGTTCTTCTTCCTTAGAGATGGCCAGCAATTCGACAAACTAGTGGGAGCCAACAAGCCAGAACTGCAAAAGAAGATAACGGCTCTATTAAATCCCGAGGTTTCTTCTCAGGCATAGTTTTTATGATGGTGAGTTTGTCAAACTGTCACGTTGAAGTTGGGTTTGCATATTAGCCTTTTTGTGCCATAAATTGTAAATTTGACTGCTTTTATTGCATGGTGATTGTGTTTGGGACTATATGTGATTATAGTTTACCTTTTCTCCTTTCTTTTATTTATACAAAAGAATCGATCATGAGATTATTTGTTGGCAGTGCGCTCCACCTATATGGTTTGTAGTGCCAGATTAATCTCATATTGTTGCCGACCATTGTGAACTGTGGTAATGGTGAACATGCTGTTGGTTTCTGTTATGGAAAAATATGTGGTATGTCGAATGATTTTGGGTTCCACCATAATTGGGCTTTCAAGTCTTGTAATTGGGATCCCCTTGAGACTTGTGTTCAAATAAACATGAATGCGTTTATTCCGGCTGAAGAATTATGCAAGAGACAGAGGCCGGATTTGTGTAATATTATTATTATTATTATTATTATTATTATTATTATTACATATTAGACCGTCATAATTTTGTCTAGCCTTGGTTCTGCTTTTGGCAAGAGACAATAACACATTGGAAAACTAAAATTGAAATGCTCAATTAACTTGAAATAGAACGACGAGGTTCTTTATCTGTAATTTGTAGCGAGTAGTTGTCAACCTTTCATTTTCATAGCAAGTAGGTCCGCGCGGGATAGTTTTCGTTGAACTATAAACTTTTAGACTTTTGCTAAAAAGACAATTTGTTGATTATCCCATCCTTGAATAAATGAGTATTAATTTAAGAAGAAAGAGGAAAAAATAAAATAAAGAAAAATGAAAAGTAGTAGAAAAAAGAGTGAGAAAAAAACTGCACAATCCCTCATTGCCCCATTCATCCGTATATGGTTTTTCGAACTAAAGCCATTAATGACCTACCAAATGGGATAAGACTTTAATTTTTCTCATCAATTAGCAGGGTCTGTTTGGTAGTGATTATACGAATTGATTTTTTGACCATTAAATGGAAAAGTGGGTTCTACCTGTGAGTCAAGAAGTAAAAAATGATGGCTGAAATAGTGAAATAATGATAAAAAATTTGATTTTTTGGGTTGGAAAATTGCTGCCAAACGAGGGCTGAAGCAGTGTGGATGAATACTTCGATCGTGTTACATGTTAAGACTACACGTCTAAGGTGAAACTCCCTCACATTGATTAGAAATTGAATGCGCCCCTCGGGGCACAGCTTAACTGGTGGATCAATCAACATTGTCTTGCTTTCAGCGACAGGGTGGAGAGTTCGATTCCTGGTGGGAACCTGCGGCCAAATATTTGGTATGGAGCAATCACTGTGGAAGAGGGTCTCTTGTGCGCATAAGTGTACAGGCAATAGGGGGAACCTGTGATCCAGTTGAGGCATAACCCGCGATTTACCCCCTCCAAAGTTCTAGGGGCAAAGGTCTTGGAGGTTCAGGATTTAGTTTAGTGTAAACTGGGATACCTGGATATAAAAAAAAAAAAAAATTGAATGCTTTTTAGAAAGTCTTAACCTTTATAGAAGTATGGTCGACAACATAGTGAACTGGCCATGGAAAAGAAGGTAACCAGTCTGTATGTGGCTTTGCGTTTTGTCTCGCTTTCTAATATTTTTCGGTGACACGTTCAGAGATTTTGCAAAACAATATTTCATTTAGCTTAGAGATTAAATCAAAATTAATAATTACTTTTAACCACGAATTGTATGAGATCAACAACTTTTCAACTATACATTTTATTAATTTTTATCAAAATCTATTAAACATTTGATTATAGTCTCCCACCAACGATGGCATGATATAAAGACCGACCAAATCATTGGAATGGTATAAACAGTGTACTTATAATTTTAAGAGGTTAAATTCTGCGTGAAACTGGCGGAGCAGAAAGATGGCACAGTGATATTGCCTACAATAATTCGGTTCAAGCCCAGTTTTACGTGAGTAGTGACGCCAAAATAAGTATAATGATGGTTTGTAAATTCGTGCCGAAAATTGGACAGAGTAACGGCAAAGAAAACACAAACAAGAAGAAGAAGAAAGTAGGGACAAAGCCGAGGCAAGAGTTGGACTCTTTGTCCTTAAGTCGAATTTGCCCCGCAACGGTACCTACGGATTTCGGCAATCGACTCCCGAGATACAACGGCTACACTTGTGTTTGTAGCACTCCAAAACACAAGTACAACGAACCAAATTTAGGCTTATGTACTCCAAGGATGAAATGAAAGAAAATCAAAATAAATGAAATGATTTTGATTTTGGATAGAAGAGAGGATGAGAGATGTTTTGCATATCAAATTGTGAGGAATAGGACACCCAAAGGGTCCTATTTATAGACCATGAAAGGGTGTGGACGAAATGGTTGAGGCCAAACCATGCACCATTTCCAAACAATGCACCTTTATGAAAAGGTGTCTATTCACCGGACAACCGTGCGGCCGCAGGGTTATAGACCGTGCGGTACCGGAATTGAATTTGACGTGTGATCGCGCGGTTTACCAACCATGCGGTCGCACGGTCAAATATTTTGACCTGATTTTCGTCCTTTTTCGTAATTTCTCATTCATCCGATATTGATTTTCGAAATGCCAAATATACCCTTCAATACATGCAGAGAAATCAAAATTCTCTTTCGGGAGCGTTGCCCCCTCGACCCTCGCGACCTGACTGGGCAGGTCGATCTCCGTTTGTGCACCCTGAAGAGGCGAAGTGGCAAACAATTTTGCCTAAACGGATTGAGTCGAGCTTTTGAGTATTTGACCGAAGTCGATACGAAGTTACTTTAATCGATTTTCAATTCTCGATTTATTTAACCAATATCCAACATCAACTTGCTCAGATCAAGTTGGCTTACAAATATGGTAACTCAATAATCAACTGTGTTATAGCATAATGGAGTGCTGGATTGTGTACTCGTATAGTTTAATTTTGAACAAATATTTCAATAAATTAAAACTTGAGAACGAGCGGAATAAAGAACATGAATCCATGCTGGGAATCATCATCTTGAAAAATGATCTATGATTATTTAAGTATTTTCTGTTAAATAGTTATAAAATCGAGCCAAGTGTCTGTAATTGGTTCACAAGATCTTTGATGAAATGGAATTTAAAGTTAATGAGAATGATTTGAAGTACAAAACAATCATTTGTGCTCATACCGAATTATCAAATATTGGATGGGGATGAAATATAGAGCAATTCATATTGGTTTCCATTGTAAAATTCATCTGAATATGTTTGATTTAAAAAAAAAAAAAACAAGAAAAAAAAGATTTGGTATGAAAAACATGGTCAGAGATTTTGCACGAGGTGGTAGACTACAGATATGCGATATTACTGTTGGTGTTGGTGGAAGAAGATGGCGACACACATATATATGTGATGATAGTGGTTCAAAGCGACAACAACGATGAAAATCATGGTAGTGTTGTCTTGGTGAAGATCAGCGGTGGTGGCTTCATTGGTTCCGGTGATGGTGATTTTTGTAAGAAGGAATTTAGGGTTTTGTGGTGTTTAGATGGTGTTTGAAATTGTGTGGAACAAACTGGGTGTAAAAAGGGAGGGGGGGGGGGGAATTTTGTTAATGATGTTTTTGATTGTAAGTATAGAATTTGTATAGAAAGAAAATAAATTTTGGATAATTCAATTGTCTATAATTTATTTGTATGAAAATTATCAATTAAATGTGTTTGATTGATTTAATTTTTAATTTAAAAAATATTATACTTGTCAATTTTTTATTGATGGGTAAATAAGATAGTGAATTCCTATAAAATAAAACCTTGCTCTCCCTAAAAAACATATTTTTCTTGATTTTGAGAAAAATATGATTACGTGACTAAAAATATAAAAATATTTTACATGAAAAAAAGGCAATCAAACAACGCAAAAGTAGGAATTTTAATGGAAAAAACATATTTTTCATAACAATTATTGACAATCAAATGCGCCCTAAATGTTTGGTTAAAATGGTTAGTTATGATCAAGAATAAATGTGATCGATAAACTAGTCACATGTCCGATCTGATAAACACAAATGAGCGACCTGTTCCGATTCTTGTCAGATCGAGGATTGAGGATTAAGGATCAACCCACACCACTGACTTCTATGTTTGATGTTGGTGGCATTGACCATTGCACCACTGAAGATAATCTTACCTTCTCTTATAAGAGTCTTTTTGAGTTTACTATTCATTTTTGTAGTCTTAGATTTCACACCACTGTACCAAAACTGGTTTGCAGTGCCTTGTAGGCATTTCAACCAAATTTTTGTAGATTTTTTTACCCTTGCACAAGTTTACTGGGCCCCACATCTGCAAAGTTTGTGGCAAGAAAAGGGGACAACAATTACAGTTGTCAATCAAAAATTGCTTGGAATGTTCAAAGTATATTCCTGTGATGGTGTAAAATTTTAGGGATATCAGGTATTTTCATCAAAGTTACTTGTTCAGAAAGTCAAAAATTACTGCAGTGATTTTTTCTATATACTCCGCGCTGCACTGAGGGTTTTTTATTATTTTTTAGACGTATTTTTGGTAATTTGACCATAACTTTCGTTACGATTATTAGAATCGCGCCCATGATCCCAATTCGTAAAGCTCTTTTCGGCACGCACGTCATAGACACCAAGTTTCGCTGGACGGGCATCATTTTCAAGGTCAAAATCTGCTTTTTTCCTTCCAAATTCTCAATTATAGTTATTTTCTTCCTTTTATGACAACTATTATGAAAACATACTTTCTATGCCATATATACATTTATCCTACCTCCAAAAAAAAAAATCATTGATGTCAAACACATAATTTTTTTTAACAAAATGGTGTAAGTTATATTGAGAAAATTATCGCAAAAAAATAAAAAATTAATAAAATAATTTTTTTTAAGAAAAAAGACGAGTTATACACATTTTTTAACACACACGTTTGATGTATGTTTAACTGTTTTTGATATTCATTTAGATTATTCGATGTATCTGTGACATAGTTCTCGAAATAAGTTTCGAGAAAATATCGAAGATTTATGCATTCGACTACCGTACAATTGTCGATGAATTTATAAAGTTAGCTTGATATCGAAATTCTTAATTTTTTAAATAATGTCTCTTTTGACATTAAAAAAATTCAAAAGTTTATTAGGAAATTTTCATCAAAAATTATTGTCGCGAAAATATAATAAACATTAATAAAATAATTGATTTTTCTTAAAAAAAAGACGAGTTAAACGCATTTATTAACACATACGTTTGATGTACGTTTAATAATTTTCGATATTCATTTAGATCATTCGATATATTTTATGATATAGTTCTTGAAATGAAATTCGAGAAAATATAAAAGATTTATGATAGATTAATATAAAAAACTAAATAAATCACCCAGAGAAAAAAATGACAAAAAAAAAACCAAAACAATAGCAATTTTGCTCCTCGCTCCTGGGTGCTAGGAGCAAAATTTTTTTCACTAGGTGATACATAATTTTTATAAAGAAAATAATATAAATTATATTGAGAAAATTGTCGTGAAAAAAAATAAATATTAATAAAATAATTGATTTTACAATTATTTTTAAAGAAAAAAGGCGAATTATACGTATATTTGACACACACATTTGATGTACGTTTAACTATTTTATACATTCATTTAGATCATTCGATGTGTCTATGACATAGTTTTCGAAATGAGTTTCGAGAGAATATCGAAAATTTATGCATTCGACTACCGTACAATCGTTGATAAATTTATAAAGTTAGCTTGTTATCAAAAATCTTAATTTTTTAAATGATGTCTCTTTTCAAATTAAAAAAATTTAAAAGTTTATTAGAAATTTTTTTAAATGACGTCAAAAAATATTGTCGTAAAAAAATAATAAACATTAATAAAATAATTGATTTTTTAAGAAAAAGACTAGTTATACGCATTTTTTAACACACACATTTGATGAATGTTTAACTATTTTTGATATTCATTTAGATTATTCGATGTGTTTATGATATAATTCTTGAAATGAGATTCGAGAGAATATAAGATTTATTGTAAATTTTTATAAAAAAAACTAAATAAATCATCCAACGAAAAAAAAGGAAAAAAAATTGACACCAAAAAAAAAAAAAAATGGCACGGAGCAAAGCAATCTTTTTTTTTTTTTGGGTTTCACTGGCTGATTTATTTAGTTTTTTTTATAAAAATTTACCATAAATCTTCTATATTTTTTCGAAGTTTATTTTGAGAATTATATTACAAACGCATCGAATGAACTAAATGAATATCGAAAATAGTTAAACGTACATCAAACGTGTGTGTTAAAAATGCTTATAACTCATCTTTTTTCTTAAAAAAAAAAATTATTTTATTAATGTTTATTATTTTTTCGCGACAATAATTTTTGACGTCATTTAAAAAATTTCGTAATAAACTTTTAAATTGTTTTAATGTCAAAAGAGACATTATTTAAAAAATTAAGAATTTCGCTAATAAATTAACTTTATAAATTTATCGACGATTGTACGATAGTCGAATGCATAAATCTTCTATATTATCTCAAAACTCATTTCGAGAACTATGTCATAGATACGTCGAATGATCTAAATGAATATTGAAAATATTTAAACGTGAATCAAATGTGTGTATTAAAAAATACGTATAACTCTTTTTTTTTAAATCACTTATTTTATTAATCTTTATTATTTTTTCGCAACAATTTTCTCAATATAATTTACATCATTTTCTTAAAAAAAAAATATTATGTAATATGATGTCAACTTTTTCTTTTTGGACTTAAAAATTTAAATCAGGCAAAACAGTAGCACCACACACGTAGAATTAATAGTGATTCCAGGAGTGAAGTGAGATATTATGGGATATTCAAAGGTAAAATAGCGAAACACAAAATACGGTAGTCGAATGCATAAATTTTCTATATTCTCTGGAAACTCATTTCGAGAATTATATCATAGACACATCGAATGATCTAAATAAATATAAAAAATAGTTAAACGTACATCAAATATGTGTGTTCAAAAAATATTATATATATATATGTTTCTGTAGTTCTTTTTTCGTATATCTTATATGTATCGATTATTTTGGACAAATATGAACTCTTTTGACTTCAACTTAAACTCTCAAGTACACTCATGTATGTTATCGATTAATAATAATATATGAAGATGCAAAGTGTGTGTCATATATAAAGATTACATTTTCATTTATCATTTTAAACAATTAATCAAATTTGTAGATTTATCGAGATAAATGAATAGATATTTTGACACGTTAATATTACTTAAAAAATGACATAACCCATGCATTGTACGAGTGGAAAACTAGTGTTACACATAAATATATATGCATGCATAGACAGATATATAAACAATTTTTAACTTTTCTATTTTTTTATAATCAAATAAATTCAAATTCTTTTTGAGGCACACTGGTTAAAATATTAAATTAACTATACATGAAATATAAATATATTCACTTTATTGCACGTACAAATAAAATAAAAAAATTAGCTTAAAAAAATGTATTTCCTTTTTACAAAATTATAAGAGAATACAAGCATTAGGATAACAAAATTTGTTTTAATAATATGAAAATTAACGATAAACAATTTAAAACTACAAATTCATCTTTTAAAAAAAAAATCTGTATTTTTAAATTTTTTATATGATTTTACAAATATTGACCCACTGATTCGACTTGTAATCGATTGAACCTGTAATCAGGTGAGTGGCTTGGCAGTGTTATTTCAATGATAAATAAAATATTCAGTTTAAAAAATATCCGGAGACATGATTAGCACTTGTTTGAGCCACATTTTTGGACCAAAATATTGGAAAAAATTTGAATTTTAGTGTAAAATTATTTTATGGGAGAATGTGTGACCAATTATATAATTGTGACCTAAAAATTCGATAATTAGTGACTAGAAAATAATTTGGGGCTAACTAATTTAAAAATTTGTGATCGACAAATAAGTTGTAATTTATAAATTTTTTGATTTATGACCAATTATATAAATCATGATCTATCAAATTTTTTGATTGTGACCATGAAATAATTCGTGACCAATTAATATAATAATATGTGATATTGTGGCCTATAAGTATCACTTGTGATCATTAATTGCATAATTATGAACTCCATATATTTAATTAATAAAATATTTTTATTTAATTAAGTTAATACAAATGAATTATTGAAAAAATGGGGGCCAAACAGTGTTAACTCCTACTTGGTAGCAATTTTTCCTCATAAAAATTAATTTTTTGATCGTTATTTAACTATTCGAGACGTCATTTTTGACTTATTCATTTACCATCATTTTTTATTTCTTCACTTACCAGATATCATTTTTGATTTCTTCACTTAGGAGGCGTAATTTTTTATTGTGATCATGAAATAATTCGTGATCAATTAATTTAATAATATGTGATATTGTGACCTATAAGTATCACATGTGACCATTAATATTAATTGTATAATTATGACATTAATATATTTAATTAATAAACTATTTTTATTTAATTAAGTTAATACAAATGAATTATTGAAAAAATGGGGGACAAATAGTGTTATCTCCCGCTTGGTAGCAAATTTTCCCTCAAAAAAATTAATTTTTTGATAATTATTTAACTATTCCATATGTTATTTTTGATTTCTTCACTTACAGATGTAATCTATTTTTATTTCCAATGATCAAAAAATAAATTATCATAATCACTATCGACCTCTTTGCAAATGAGGATTTGTTGGGGGTATCTGTGCAAATATGTGGTTGCTAATTGAAGAGGCGGCGCGTTCGTTTCTTTATGTGAGCCTCTACTTCCCCGCTAAAACAAATCCTGCACATCACACTATTCGTATAACGTCCGGCCTACCTGTTAAATCTGAAATCCTTGAAGATTTACAAATATGGGAAACGGTATATACTCATAAGAATCAAATCAATATAGAAAATCAATTACAAAAAATTAATAAATTAAATAATAAAGAAACACAAGATTTCTTGGAAAATTGACAGTATTGATTCATATTTTATCTGAACTGAAAATGCTTCGAATGTCAGGTGATAAAGGTCGACCCGGTAAGAAGATCAAATTTTCCAAGGTTCTCTTCGATTTTCTTTTCATATATCTTTGCTACCGAGTTTGTATTTCCCGGAAACAAATCTTATATTAGAAATGATCTCATATTTTATTCTCTAATACTGAAGGAGGATTATAGAGCTTCAACTGCTGGGGATGAGGCTTCCTATTTCCCTGGCGATGACCATGATATTCGCGATGGTATTTACAATAAATTATTTGTATTGCACACTGGAATCTACCGTTTCTTTATTTCTTTCTTTCTTGGTTTGGTTTAATTTTGATGAATTGGTGAATTGGATGGTTTGATTTGATTTTTAAGGTGAAGGGAAAAAGAGGGATTTTACGAAACTTGAATTGAAACCTGATCATGCCAATCGCCCCCTGTGGGCTTGTGCGGATGGTCGAATCTTTCTCGAGACTTTCTCCCCGCTATACAAGCAAGCCTATGATTTTCTCATTGCCATTGCTGAACCCGTTTGCAGGTACAATTTTGCCCAATTTATTCTAATTACATGCGTTGTAATGTTGTATACATACTACGGTGCAAATCTCGTGTTGATAGCATTAGTAATCTACTGCGAAAGGAAAAAAAAGGATATAATGAATTAATAATTGTAAGTAATTACAACTGATATAGAGAAATCCATGATAGATTTAATACCTTGCTGAATGTATATGTATTGAGTTACTACAGTTGCACGTGTGTGCTCTAGCTGGTTCATGAAATTTGAGCATAATTGGATTAGGATTTTGATTTATGGACTTTCTGTTTTACAGGCCCGAATCAATGCATGAGTACAACTTGACACCACACTCTCTATATGCTGCTGTGTCTGTGGGACTTGAAACAGAGACAATCATATCTGTTTTGAATAAATTGTCAAAGACGAAGCTTCCGAAAGATATGATTGATTTCATACATAGCTCTACTGCTAATTATGGCAAAGTGAAGCTTGTGCTGAAGAAAAACCGATACTTAATAGAATCCCCATTTCCTGAGGCAAAATAGTCTAACCTTGTTCATAATTTGGATTGATATGTTAGGGGGCAAATCAGGATCTAAGTTTTGTACAATACGATGGCTGTTTGCAGGTGTTAAAAAGGTTGCTCCAGGACGAAGTCATCTCACGGGCAAGAATATCCTTTGAGGTACGTGCATATCGCAGTTGGTTCTCTGAGTAGTTGTCTGGTCATCCAATATACATCTTCAAGTCTAATCAAAACTTTGAAAATTCAAATAGTGGAGCTTTCTCGTCTTATTTGGCTTGTGGCTAAATATGTTGAATTCTGTTGGTTCAGGGGGTCCATGGAAGCGATGGTTTTACGGTTGGCAAATCTGCAGGTGAAATAGTAGGTGGACATGATGAATTGCTAAATGAAGCACAATTGGCTGCTGCAGCTGAAGAGAAAGAAACCCATTCATTTGAAATTGACCCTGCACAGGTAGGTTAATAAGTTCCAATAGAATCATCTGCTATTGGGACTTGTGATGTATTTTCGTCATTTTCTAATATAGACATATTTTCTGTGGGCATCAATCTGGCAGGCTGAGCCCGTTGGTGTAATACTTATTCCGATAATATATCTTTTTTCTGCATTGTCATGAAGCTTGGGATGAGATTTGTTTATCCATTTGCTTTGGTTTGTTTGAATATATTACTTTACTTGATGATATTTATTGGTTGTAGTTTTCAAAAAATAGTAGACTTGATCTTATTTGGATTTGAAACTTATTGAATCAACCCATTTGCACCACTTAAGATCAGGAAGAAATGATAATTTCCACACCCCATTACTTTACTAGTCTGTCTGACCAGCTATTCTCATTCCTGTCATGAACGTGCATAGTGCATGCACTTGCTTTTTTATATTAATATAAATGAAAATGGCTTAACTGATCTTTTAACATGCAAGATTAGGGATTTCTGTCAGAATTCTGATAAAATTCCTTCCTCTTGTTTCTTGGTAAATTTTCTAAGTTTCTTCTCAATTCTTGTGGTGTCTGCTGTTTTTATAATTTCAGAAACCACGTTCTCTTGGGGTGGGGGTGTTGGGGGGTGGGTTTGTATTCACCTAAATCTCTAGTGACTTATGGAGATCTTAAAAGTCTGTGTATTCAATCAAGACTTTTTTAAGACTTCATAAAGGTCTTGGATATTCAATAGAGACTTTTTTTCCAATATTTTTGCAGAGTCTTCAAAAGTGTAAATTGAATATCCCTGAACTTTTGAAATCATTGAAAGCCTCAATTGAACACATCCCCCTAAATGTCATAGGGTATTAAATGTAGACTTTTTAAAAGTCTTAAGAAGTCATGGACATTCAAAATGTCAATTAGTTTTATAAAATCCTGCACATAGTAACTTTTAATCTGAAAATATAAAAACAGAATTTCATAAGTAGTTTATCATTCAGCCCCAGGATTTTGAAAGACTTGAAAAAAAGAATATCCCTCCATCAGTATCTTTCTTTCCTCTTTTATTCTATGAACCCTAATGTCATAACACCAAAAATCAATATTTTTCTCTCTTTTCAACTTGTTATTATTATCATTCTCTTTTTAATATCATCAATTCTTCTCTCTCTCTCTCTTGCTCGCTCGCTCTTCTTTTTCATCATTTTCTCCTCTTTTCCATGAATAATGATCAATTTGTAAATAAAAATTCTTACAAGATTTTTCACTCTTCTTTTTCATGGTTCTCTCCAATTTTTCTATAGAGAAAGATCAACCTTCAAGTAAAATTTTATAAAAGAATAAATTAATTTTTTATAGACTGGTTGCTTGTTTAATTTAATAACTTTATTCATGATTGAATATGTTGATTTCTAACGTAGGTGACTTATATTTGTATAGAATATATTTTTGTTGACATGAGAAATATAATTTTGTTACTACGTGTTGGAAAATATTTGTTCACTAGGGGTGCCTAAATAGAAGTTTGTGAAATTCAAATAAATTCTACAGTAGTCTATAAAAGTCTTTGAAGACTTTCATTGATACTGTCGAAAGTCTTAAAAGTCGTAAAAAATCCGAATTGAATACACCCCTCTTAATGGTTTTTTTAGAGCAGGCCAAAATTGAGAAAGATTGCTTGCCAAAATTCTATTCAACTTTCACAATGTTGTCTAACTGGTTTACTGATCATATTCCATTTAACTTTTTATTTGTTGACAGGTTGAGAATGTGAAGCAACGTTGTTTGCCTAACGCTCTGAATTATCCCATGTTGGAGGAGTATGACTTCAGAAATGACACTGTGAGTTGCTTATTATTTCTTCTTAGCATCATTGCACTTAGACCAAGTCTACCTGTTGTTTTTTTGTAATAAGTAATGTTTATAGTTCTGTGAGGACCATTGATTCTCATTGGATACTACAGGTTAATCCTGATCTTGAGGTGGAATTGAAGCCTCATGCACAACCACGTCCTTATCAAGAAAAGAGTCTTAGCAAGATGTTTGGAAACGGTAAGGGTCTTGCCTGTGCCTATTCACTTCTTTCCTGTCTGCATAAACATGCTTACTTTTATGTATGCTATCACTTGATGCTTTCCATGGTTGCTCAATTTGTTTTATTTCAACTATGGAATTTAAGAAATTTAATGTTCAGTGACTGTAGGAGGATTATAAAATTCTCCAGGAGTATTGAAGAATGGTAATGCAACAACCTACCATTAGATTTAAGTGGATATTGATTTTGTTGAGCAATTTTTAACAGATGCAATATCTTAAGTCTTTGAACGTACTGTATATATTCTATTTGCATTTATAACCCCTGTTTGAGCTCTAGTTTTAGGCCAAAATATATTTGGAGTAGTGTTTTGTTGGAAAATGCGTAGTTAAAAAATAAGGAGAAGATTTGGGCTTACGTGTAAAATTATTTTATGAGAGAATGTGTGGTTGAAAATAAGTTTTGAAAAAATGGGGCCAAACATAGGAATAATATTTTGAACATATTGCATGCAGTCTGAAATTCATAGGAATGGCCTTGGTTTCTCTGGCCATGTTTGGCATCTAGGTTTGGCCTCCTTGTTCTCTCTCTCTCTCTCTCTTTCTTTTTTTTTTTTTTGTCTGTGGGTTGTTGGGGGTGTTACACTCTCATTTCAATGTTTCTTAGTATTTGGAAGGTAGGGAATACATTTATCTTTTGCCGTTTATGCGTTTGAGATTGTGAACATTCCATGACAACAGACTTCCAATGCTTCTATTTGCCATTTCTAATGTCTTCTTTTTCCCATTTCTCATTTTAATGGAAGATAAAACACTTCTAGAACTGTATACCATGTCATCCATTGAATATTTATCTTGTAATTTCAGGTAGAGCACGTTCTGGTATCATTGTGCTGCCATGTGGTGCTGGGAAGTCTTTGGTTGGTGTTTCTGCAGCATGCAGAATAAGAAAAAGTTGTCTTTGTTTAGCAACAAATGCTGTGTCTGTGGATCAGTGGGCTTTCCAGTTTAGGCTATGGTCAAACATTAAAGAAGAGCAAATTTGTCGTTTCACATCTGATAGCAAAGAAAGATTCCGTGGCAATGCTGGGGTGGTGGTGGCGACATATAATATGATTGCTTTTGGTGGCAAACGTTCCGAAGAAGCTGAAAAGATCATTGAAGAAATAAGAAACAGGGAGTGGGGATTGCTTCTCATGGATGAGGTAAATTCGTATTTGTGGAAGGGATGTTTTTATCTATTTGGGATAAATGTGAAGTTCACTATGTTCTGTGGTGATCTATGGGGTGCTTGTCCTTTTGACATTTTAGGTGCATGTTGTCCCTGCTCACATGTTTCGGAAGGTCATCAGCCTAACAAAATCTCACTGCAAACTTGGGCTTACTGGTATGTGTTCAACAAAAATCGCTGTGAACACAATTGATATTTACCATTCGACATTCAAGTATATTTGGTGAAAAAAGGAGAATTTATTGACTGGCTAAATTGCAGCAACGCTTGTAAGAGAGGACGAGAGGATCACAGATTTGAACTTCCTTATTGGTCCAAAGTTGTATGAGGCGAATTGGTTGGATTTAGTGAAAGGAGGGTTCATTGCAAATGTCCAGTGTGCAGAAGTCTGGTGTCCAATGACGAAGGAGTTCTTTGCTGAATATCTTAAGAAAGAAAATTCAAAGAAGAAGCAGGTCTGTTGGGTTGAGGAAATATTTATTTCGCCGTCTAAAATTTTATAAATTCAGATGAGTTGTTTCGACAAGGCGTGTACTGTTGTTTTGCTCCCTTGCCTAGCTGCATGGCTTCTTGAACTGTCAACAGTGGTCAATTAAAACTGTCAACTTAAAAATCCATCCTTGGCATGGCAGAAAAATCTGAAACAACACCTGCCCAAACTGTCTTAAATATTCCTTTGAACACGACCCATTCTTTCTTTTGAATGTAAATTGGACTCTATAACTGATAGTTGATTTTCAGCTCCATTGATACAATATTTAAAGGCTTTTATTTAAGCAATTTAACCAACTGTTTCTAGCAAATGTTTCAGTATAAAGTTCGTCAGTTGTCATCTTGCATCTCCAGGAATTTTGTTTTGCATCTTTATTCATTAATGATACTTCTCTACCTGACTGAAGGGAGGAGAAGATTTTATTTTATTCAGTTGTGGAATCTTTACTTTAAAACTCAATAATGTTTTACCTAGAATAGAGGAATACTACTTGGTAGTAGGATTAAAATAATTTTTTTGACCCTTTTTTTTTTTTTTGTTTTTTTTTTTAATCTAGTCGATCTGCTTCTTCTGATGACTTTTTTTTTCTTATCACTTTTCAGGCACTTTATGTGATGAACCCTAATAAATTTAGGGCTTGTGAGTTTCTTATCCGGTTTCATGAACAGCAGCGGGGGGATAAGATAATTGTTTTTGCTGACAATCTTTTTGCAATCAGAGAGTACGCATTGAAGCTTGGAAAACCTATGATCTATGGTGCTACTAGGTTTGTGTATATATACTTTTGTAAGGGATTTGATATACTTTTACTATTTTCACTTTGTTATAATGGTCGTTGGGATCATTTTCAGCCATCCTGAGAGAACCAAAATCCTTGAAGCATTCAAAACTAGTCGAGATCTTAACACTGTATTCCTCTCAAAGGTATAGTGTTGAATTTAATTTTTAACTCAGGTTTATTGTTCTTGTATCTGTGCTTAATTCCACTGCAAACTTTGTTCATCCTGGCTGACATGATAAATTTTGGTTAGATGTCGTCTAAACTTTCTTTACATTTTGATGGGCTTGACGATGCAAGTGCTAGGGGTTTTGTACATATGCTTGTGCATGCACCATGACCTAAACCTGTTGACGGGTAAATGCAACAATGACTATGCATTTGGTGAGGGTTAAAATCCGAGTTTTAGTAGATTTTGAGAAAAGTTGATGAAATGAGTGGTTGAAAAGTGGCTGGTCCCATGAAATATGTGGTTGAAATTAATTGATGACTTTGACTTAGACTAAAATCTAAATTTTAATCCCTACCAAACAAGGCTATATAGCCTTATTCTACTGCTACAAGGAGTACCTGTTTGGGTTGAACATGGCGTCACAATCATGACGTATGCATAAATGTTAATGATATGCTTTGTGGCAATCAGTGTAAACAAGGGACACAAGGAACTATATCTTAAAAGTTGTTGCTATCATTATGATCCAACTATGTTTCCCTTTAAAAATCCTTAACAGTAATAAATCCAATTTATCAATTAGAAAGTAATTGTTACTTCGGTATTTACAGGTAGGAGATAATTCTATAGATATTCCTGAGGCAAATGTTATAATTCAGATTTCATCACATGCTGGTTCAAGGCGTCAAGAAGCCCAACGACTGGGGCGTATTCTTAGGGCCAAGGCATGTTCCTTAGCTGTATATATGTCTCTATGAATTTCATCATTTTGTTTGTTAATGAGATGACTGATATGAATTTATAAATGTATGAATAATTGTGTTCCAATGTTTTTTCTTTCAATATTAAATTTGTCACCTGTTTGCAAATATCAAGGAGGGTAGATATTTTTATATTTCCAGTTACATGTCATCTGCATATTTCTGCTTGAACCAAATCTTATGTTGATGTTGGATGAAGCATTACATGGACCATTTAATGCAGATCTGTTGAAGTTACCCTCTACAGTGTTAGGGTTGCCGGATTGCAATCAGGAAGTGTTGAGGCTTATCCAGTTCTGGATGTTCCTTTAGTTTCTGAATGTGTGATACTATCAGTAAGAAATGCTAGTTCTGGATCGACCCAAATGGAAATAAAGGGCTTATGTAGCTGACCCCAAGTTTATAGAGACTAGAATGGGTAGAAAAGTATCTAGAATGTTCTTACTATCCATGGTTCTGGATCTCACGTCAAATGAGTGGTAGGAACACCAAGGATATACTTAATCCTTTTTAAGTTCTCCTATGTGTTCCGACAGATTTTAGCATGGGGATGTTGTTTAACAGTTTCTAATGCTTTTCTGTATTACGGATATATCATGTCATTAAATTCTCTGTCTTCAGTTGGCAATGCTACAAGTTCTCACAGGGGTTTTAGCTACAGTAATTTGCTATTCTTTAAACTGAATTTACTGTCTTCTTCCCCACTCTCAGGCGTTCATGCCCACACATCACCATAGTTGAGGTATTGCCACTAAGCGCTTCACCACCATCACCAAGACACCAACAAATTCCGCTCCACAGAACTAAAATGCACTTGCAATAATATAATCCCTTATCACCGCAATCACCCAAAAAGTCAAACGCCCACTCAGACTACCATTGCAAGTATTTATATGTAAGTTTAGATGAGAAATCATAAATGAAAATCTGGAAAAGATATACTGCTGTCATCTCCTGTCCCCATCATAAAACATCAATCAATTGTACATAATTGATAGCGAACATAAAGGGTCTGGATAACTCATGCACAACCACCACACAACTGCAGACTAAGATATGAGATATGAGGTCCCATGAGCTGATTTTGTCAGACAACATTCATTGTAATGGGGGCAGTTTTGAAAAGAAGTAGATTTGGGAAGTGGCTTATTTTAAGAAATGGCGAGGATGTTCAACTTGAGATGGGGAGTATCTGTAGTATATTATCAAAACGTCTCACTGTAGAAGATATGTGCTTTTGACAGGTCTCTCTGCCCCCACATTCTTTTAGTTTGTAGATACTGTTTGTATTTGGACATTCCAGTAGAGCAAAGGATTCAGTGGTTACATTTAGTCATGTTGTATTTTAGATTTAGATATGTCTGTCCACATCTACAGTCATACATGTGTGTGTATTCAGTATTATAATGCGATTTATGATGTAGTTTATCTTATGAAATGCACCCATCATGGCTCATTGTCAAGTCTTTTTTTGGATTGACAGGGGAAGCCTCAGGACAGGATTGCAGGTGGCAAGGAGGAGTACAATGCATTTTTCTACTCCCTTGTATCTACGGATACCCAGGTGTGCAAGTCTTTGCTTTCCAGGTTCTGTTTTTAAATCAGCTATGTTTGCTGGGGTCTGTTTTGCTTAACGACATTGTCTAACTGCAGGAAATGTATTACTCTACAAAAAGGCAGCAGTTTTTGGTTGATCAAGGTTATAGCTTTAAGGTACAGAGCCTCTCTCACATCCCAAGATTTAATGTTCTATTCCTTTACAGTTTTCTTCATCTTACAGTCATGTTGATCGTCTATCTTCTCTTGATGGTATCATATTCCTCTTCAAAATTTCCATTAATGACGTCTTAGATATGATTAATGTTTTTGTTGCATATTCTGCTTACTTTTGACTCTTCAACTTGTTTTCAGGTCATCACAGGCTTGCCCCCTCCAGATGCAGAATCTTCGTTGAGTTATTCTCATCCTGAGGAGCAGCATGCACTTCTTAAGAATGTTCGTATGCTTCGGACACCACGGTCATTAAAAAAAAAAAAAAAAGGAAAAAAAAAATGAGGAGAAAGAAAGAATGTTTGTATGCGTGTTTTCTAATTTTCTAGTTTTACACGAAAGTGTTACCTATAGAATCAATGAGAAGGTCTAGCATATAATGCTGATAGTCTTTTCTTTCTTTCTTTTTTTTTTTTTCGTGACAGGTGCTAAGTCAGGGTGATGATGCAGTTGGTTTGGAGCGACTAGAAGAAGATGCAGATGACATTGCCCTTCAGAAAGCCCGTCGTTCTGGGGGATCCATGAGTGCAATGTCAGGAGCCAGTGGAATGGTATACATGGAATACAAGTATGGGTTCTATGTAATCTTCACTTCAAATAATTTTTCTTCCTTTCTAGATTTACAGACAGGCATTCATTAGATATGTACTATTATCCATTTACACGATACTGGTTCATGAGAGTAACATTAACCCAAGCAAATATTTTTTAAGTTTACGAGGCTGAAATTTTAAATTCTTCCTTGTCCGATTGAATATGTAGTTTGTATAGTAATGCTAAAAGATTATTAGAGCTGAAAATTTGTGTTTTTGCTGCAGTACTGGGCAGAAAAATGTGCATGGGCAGACAAAAAGCAAGCCCAAGGACCCGGCTAAGAGACACCAACTGTTCAAGAAACGTTTCGTTTCATGAAGCCTTGCATATTCTTTTATCAGGTGCACGAGTCTAACTAGTTTATAAAGATTGCAGTACAAACTACTTCTGCTTTGTTTTTTGTTATACATATTACTGTTTAACCCAACGTCCGCCACTGTTACATCTCCTACATAAAACTATGAGCAGTTGAAAAATCTTGGAGCCACCCATCTTGAGACCGATTATATGACTTATACTCTTGACTTGGAAACTTTTGCACCGTCTTTTTTACACAAATATGTTTAGCAATTTCTTCAACATTCTTCCTTTTCATGTTCAATTTCCTCTACGGGGCACTCGCAGTGTATTTTATCATTACACATAGTCAAACATGAATGACAAATCATTAACGCACTTTTCTTTCCTTCTTTTTTGTGGGCATCAAAGTTGAGGAAGGCTAGCCGTTGTCATCTAATTCCCAATATTTTCCACTTTCGGGACAAAAAGGGTATCGTCATATAACATCACTTCTGCCATAAGGATTGCTTTGCTCTTCACATAATATGCTAAGAATTCTTGCTTGATTTCTGAGTATCCCCCATCCCCACCCATTTTGGATCGAAGTGGTTGGTGGTGGAGCCAAAATGGTTGTTTTTTTTTATCAGTTTGTTATTTTTTCTCTGATAAATTTGCACAATGAACATTCAAATTGGATTTGATGACAAGAGTCTTAGCATCGTATGATGCATGTGCATATATATTTATGTTACAACTTGCAATATGATTACGAAAATTTTGCTTGCTATGGAGACACTTTGAATAAAAATGTAATTTTTATTTTAATCATGTATGGAAGTCTCCTGATCAAGTTCGTGTGAGTAGCAATATGAATGCAAAACATTGAGACCCATTAAAAAGAGAATTTTTTTTTTTTGGGGGGGTGGGGTGGGGTGGAATTTGGAGTAATGAATTTTTTGGAAAATTGTGATAAAAAAATAGGGAAAAGTTTTGAGTTTACGTGTAAAATATTTTATTGTGAGAATATATGGTTTAAAAAAGGGAATTTTTGGAGAATGGTAGACAAACAGGGGCTAAACATGATCAATCCGCTTGGTTATTTTATAGTATGAAAGCATTCTCAAGAAACTTTCTATTTTTGAAGAGTATTTATAAATTTTGAGAATTAAAATTTTAAAATACTTCAAAAAGTTCTTTATATTTAATGCTTAATTTTACCATTCTAAAAAATATTTGTTATTTTTCTTTATCTTTTATTTTAATTATCTTTTCTCTAAATTAAAATGTTAATTTAAAGAATCTCTTGAAACATGATTTTAAGGTTTGACTCTCTAAAATAGAGAGCATCTCTTGTTTAAAGAGTTTCTTTGAGATGGTCTAAGTTTCCAAGCTATAGTTTTTTGGTATGCGCTCGGAGAATATCCAGTCCCCTTGAGTTGTACTTACGCCTGTCCAATTTAGTGGAATATACTCTTATGCATAAGTTTAGAGTTTTAGAATCTTGGGTAAATGGTAAACAAAATGCTCCCTAGCTGACTTGTGTTTGTTGTAAATTATTAGATTGGTCATTGGCTCAGATTGATACAGACTAGTGGTGTAATAGTCTAGGACCGTGTCTCTTTGTTCGGCTCTTTGGTGGAGGGATGGCGAATCTCTAGGTAAATGTGTGAGAACAATACTAACAAGATCCTCTCATAAATTGTGATTGATCAATAAGTCAATAGTAAACGTCTATGATATATCTCTAAGTTGACATTCTTTATGATTGGTGCCACTTCAGGTTTTTGGAGGAAAGATACGAATATAAAGCTGAGCATCTCAGATTCTCAGGACTGTCGTTCAAGAACTCTTTTTTTTTTTCTTTTTTCTTTTTTTATATGACACGTTTGTCATGAGCTCGGCCATTTATCGTGACAAGAGCCTTGTCAAGGCAGTGTACCAATATGGAATTGCTACTTGCTTTGTTGGCGCAATGGGACGAGAATTTAGCGGTGGTGGCATACTAATCAAAATGAACTAAATTTTGTCATTTTTTGTGGTGGTGGAAAATACCACACCAACAAAACGAAGCATAAGAGTGGGCTCTTAAGAAAAGTTTTCCGGAGAGAGTGAAATATTGTTGCGTTTATTGTGGATTCTCCACTTGAACTTGCAATTTCTTAGTTCTTTTTCACTTTTGACATCCTTAAGAGAAATTTCTTGGAGGCTAATCGAAGATTAAGCCTTAATAGTTATGAAAACATGGACTAAAAACTTGAGATATTTTGTATGTGATGTGTGGAAAGTTATCGTTTAACATTCAGAGACAGAGAGATTCTCGAAGGATCCAAGAAGTGAAAGAATATGAAAAATACGTATTTTAAAACTTCTAAATGTTTTACTCACGGTTCAAAGTATACACACAAACAATCAATGCACATGCCGATTGAGCCCAATTGAATCGATGGTTATGTATTCTTTACAGGTTATGTCCCACGAAAATACTTTTCATCATAAAATTTATTTCCTATTTTTTGGAAATGAATCCAAGAATTGACTATTAGTGTACAATAGTAGTCAACTACCATTTCCTGAGTCTCGTGTATTATGGACTAAAGAAAGATTAAATTCCACAAAATAATGCTTTGTTCATGTGATATTTTTTTGGGATGGGAAGTAACTTAAATTGTCTGGACAATTATTTGGTAAATAGTATGTTCTTCACTTTCGTACATGTATTTTCCATTAAGAAGGGACGTGATTGAAGATGTTAATTAGATGGAGGATTTAACTGAAAATGTTGGGAAGTTGTAAATTGACGTGATTGGCCTATTAGTAAGATGACGGAATAAATTGAAGAAATACATAAGATGTTAATGACATAGGGGGATGCAATTAACGTTTTGCATAAGCTGGTGCTTCAAAAATAAAATAAAATTAGGGACTCTATACCTATGATATGGAGTTTAGGTACTGAATTGATGATGTCGATAAGATGATAGACCTCACTGAAGCTATTAGTAAGATCAAGGACTATAATAATGATATGAGAGATAGGGACTAAATTACTATTTAAATAAGGATGGAGAGTCTCATTAAAGATATTGGTAAGTTGAGGGACGTAGAAGTAAAAGCAACATGGAGGTCTTAAATTAAGATGAAAAGTTCATTTGGCATGAGTTTTGAAACGTCAAAAGAAACTTGTGAAATCCAAAAGTTGCTTTGGATTCAAGAGTTCATTTTGAATTCGTTTGGCTAATCTTGTGAAAGTGATTTTCTAGTTAAAAGAGATTTTAGATAAAATTAGTTTATCGTAATTTCTTTTAAAAACACTTTTTAGAATATGAAGTTCTTTTATAAATTAATTTTAAATAAAAATAAAATTAAAGTTGCTTCTTTTGAAAGCTCTTATATAACTTATATAAGAATTGAGAGCAAAAATAAAAGTCATGCCGAACGGGCATGAAAACAAGAATCAAGATCAAAGTGAAAGATTTCTTGGTTGAGCGATGAATTCAAGTATTTTTATTTGTTGAGATTCTTTGTGATGGTAAAATAATAGAGTTAGCTCTCCAGCTTATCGATATTAAATTCTAGACCCCGCACTTATGGATACTGAACAATTCAATCCTAAAACAATCAGGGATCTCAAACTTTTTGATACCTCCAAGTCCATCCTCCAACTTTCATAAGCCTACAAAACTAGTCCTTCAAATTAAAGATACTTCCTTGTCCGCCCACCATCTTTCTAATACCTCCAAATTCATCCTTGGACTTTTTGTACCAAAAATTAAGTCCTTTATCTTCAAGGTACTACTAAGTCAATCCTCTATTGTTCAGATAATTCTATATCAACCCTCTTACCTTCAGATAACACCAAATAGGCACCAAACTTCAGATACCACCAAAGCAGCTCCAACTTTCAAATACCAATAAATTAGTCCTTTCACTTTACTATACCTACAAATAAGTCCTCAAACTTTAAGATATATGCATACTAGTCCTCAAGCTTTTAGTTACCTCTATATTCATCCTCCAACTTTCAGATATAATAAAACCAGTTCTTGAACTTACAACAACTTCATATTCATGCTCTAACTTTCTTATACTACTACAACCAGTCCTCCTACTCTTAGATACCTCCTAACCAGTCCTCTAACTTTTAGATAATTCTATAAAAATCCTTCAACTTATAAATTCCTCCAAATCAGTCCTCTAACTTTTGGTTACTTCATTATTAGACCTCTAACTATCATATACTAATACATCAGTCATTCAACTTTTAGATACATAATATTCAATCCTCCAATTTTATTTATACATTCAAATCCGTCTTCTAACTATCATATACCAAATATAAGTGTTTCAACTTTCAGATACATCCAAATTACACCTACAATTTTCTAATTCCAACAAACCAGTCCTTCTTTTCATTATGTCTAAATCAATCCTCCAACTTTCATTTACAACAAATCAGACCTTCAAACTTATGACACCTTCATACCATCGTCCAACTTCCAGGTGATTCTTTTATCCATTCTATGTGGTAAATAACCAGAATGAGAAAAATTTTGGATTGTTCACTCGGAGTGCGAAATGAATACATGTTGATCAGTCAAATTGCAGCGATAATCATTTCCGATTTTAGCCATGTATGATTGCCTTCCCCGTAGAATTTTATCTTCTCATTCTTCCTCAGCAATTCACTACTTAGGGCTGGATAGTTGTTCCAGATTATCAAATGTTTCGAGCATTTGCATTTCTCCATTGAAAAGGAATTTTTTGAAAATAAAACTCATTCAAAATTCAATTCCTTTTCCTTCAGACGAATATGAATTTAAAGATCGAAATTCAGGGTTTATGGAGGGCAAAAGAAGACTGGATAATCAACTCAAGAAAAGCCAAAGTTCCAATGACGAAGAAGAGAAAACGGAGGTTTCAATTGGTAGAAATAGAACCAATAAAAAAGCAGAGGATTCGAGTATCGACGAATTTTTGAAACTCAGGAGTGACAAGAGTGATATTAGTTCTTTAGCGAAAGATGAGGACTTGGTGAGTAGTAATTGTATTGACACCAAATTGGAGGAATTAAAGAGGCAACAAAATGCGGAGGCGGCTTCGGTGGTGAGAAGCGGGAAGCAGATGTTGAGAAGATCGAATGTCATAGCGAAGCAAGTGATTAGCATTAGTTCTGCTCTCAGCCTGGGATTCGTCTCGCAGCTTTGGGTCGATACCACCTCTGTGAGTTTTTTCATTTGTCATTTATCAAACCATGTTCAATTCTCTGGTGGAGGATGTAATCTAAGTTATCTATTGCACGTTATTCCTTACGATCAAGCAAGTGATGGCTATAGTTGAGATTCTGATATAGAA